GCACATTTGGTGTTTCTCATACAAGAGTACCTACAGAATCTCGACCCGGGCATGTCGCTCTGATCGCAGGACTTTATGAGGATGTTTCTGCTGTTGCAACCGGCTGGAAATTGAACCCGGTCAACTTCGATAGCGTCTTTAATAGAAGCGCTCACACATGGAGTTGGGGTAGCCCCGATATTCTGCCCATGTTCCAACATGGAGCAACTCCTGGTAGAATAGATGCGGATTGCTACGACGCGGAGTTCGAGGACTTCTCCAAAGATGCGCTTGAGCTAGACTTTTACGTGTTCGATCACGTCAAGGAGGTTTTTGCTGCTGCGCAAAAGAACAAGACCTTAAATGACGCCCTGAGACAAGAGAAAGTTGTCTTCTTCCTACATCTCCTGGGATTAGATACTACTGGTCATTCGTATCGACCATACTCAAAGGAATACCTTAGAAATATCAAAGTCGTTGACCAAGGCGTCAAGGAAATAACGGAGTTAATTCAAAAGTTTTACAATGACGATAGGACAGCTTTCGTGTTTACGGCTGATCATGGCATGAGCGATTGGGGGAGCCATGGAGATGGTCACCCAGATAACACCAGGACCCCGCTCATCGCATGGGGATCAGGTATAGCTAAGCCGTATGTGTATTCGGGAACTATCGCCCCCGGTCATGATGAATACTCATCGGATTGGAACCTGGACCAAATCAAGAGGAATGATGTACAGCAAGCGGATGTTGCTGCTCTAATGGCCTACTTGATCGGGGTCGAGTTTCCCGCTAACTCTGTAGGAGAACTTCCGCTGTCATATCTCTCTGCAAATATTAAAGAAAAGGCCGAAGCGTCTTTGGTGAACGCCCAGGAAATTCTAGAAATATACAAGGTGAAAGAGAACAGCAAGAAGACAACAGAAATAAGATACCGATCTTATAAACCCTTAAGCGAGGAGAGTGGTTCATCCCCCGAGAGTCGAGTATCATCTATCAGAAAGTTAATCGATAATGGAAACTTCGAAGAAGCCATCGAGGAATCTGCAGCGCTGATGAAAATTGGACTCGAAGGAATGCGCTATTTACAGACTTATGACTGGCTATTCTTGAGAGCTCTCATTACCATTGGCTATCTAGGATGGATGGCGTACGCCTTGACAACCGTTTTGAACCAACATGTATTGCAAGGTAGCACTCAGCCCTCGAGAAACCTTGGTGGCACCATCGTCTTCTCCTCAGTCCTTGTTACGCTTTATGCGTCCTTCGTCGTGTCGCACTCACCCATCACCTACTACGCATACGCCTTCTTCCCTGTATTCTTCTGGGAAGAAGTTTACGCTCGTAGGGATAGTTTGGTTAAGGGAAGAGAGGCCTTATTTGGGCACATCAAAACCGGGCCCAATGTCCTATCCCTTACGATCAACATCATCGTATATATTGGCATCATCGTGTCGCTGGTAAATACTCCTTTTCGATTTCCTAGGAGACTGACTAACATATGAAGGCATTTGGATATATCCATCGCGAAATCTTTACAATACTATATATCGTGGGAGCATTATATCCTTTGACCACGGGGATATCTTTCCTCCATAAGTACTCGGTTCTCTCTGCGACTTGGTTTATATCATGTCTGGTAATGAGTGTTTTTACTTTGCTACCAGCAATGAAAATTGAAAGCGTACCCCTCACGTAGGTCGATTTAGTTAGTTACCCTTTAAATCTACTAAACTAACAAGTAATAGCATGGTTGGCGGTGCGCTCATGGTTATTGTCGGCATCTTGTATCTGATTTTCGAAGATAAGTTCCTGGCCGATTCTTCAAGTTCAAAGAAAAGCAGCACATTGCAGAAGGGCAATGAAATTTCCCGAACCTTGATCGGGATTCAGGTGAGTCTTCTACATCGCTTGACTAATGTGCTATATTAACTGTAGTAGGTTGGGCTTATCATACTGGCTATGCTTGTAACTCGGAGCAGTGCTCTATCACTTCAAGCAAAACAAGGCTTGCCACGCGGGAACCAGGCTGTAGGGTGGTTGGTATTGGTCATATCGTTTTTGATGCCTGTCGCTCATCGACTTCAACCCAATCACTATTACCTTCATAGGCTACTAGTTATTTTCCTTACGTGTGCACCAACCTTCGTCATCCTTACTATCTCCTACGAGGGTCTATTTTACTTCGCATTCAGCCTGCTACTAGTTACCTGGGTACGATTGGAACACCACGCCTACGAATTCTTCAAGTCAACTAGAAAGGCGTCAACAGAAGTCAAAGGTAACAATAAGACACCGGCAGAGGTGGTGGTGTCCAAGTTCCGGCCACTCGTTCTATCGGATGCTCGCGTGGCCTTATTCTTCTTTATTCTACTCCAATCGGCCTTCTTCAGCACCGGCAATATCGCGTCTATTTCTTCATTCAGTTTAGACAGCGTAAACCGACTGCTCCCAGTCTTTGACCCCTTTTCCCAGGGGGCACTTCTAATTCTCAAGCTTATGATCCCGTTTGCGCTGATATCAGCGAACCTGGGTATTCTCAATAAGAGAATTGGAGTAGCGCCATCGGCGCTCTTTATGGTCGCAATGGCCCTGAGTGACATACTAACACTCTACTTCTTCTGGGTAGTAAAAGATGAGGGTTCGTGGCTTGAGATAGGATCAACAATTAGTCACTTCGCCATAGCTAGCCTTCTCTGCGTTTTCGTGGCCGCTCTAGAAGGAGTGAGCGCATTGTTTATTGCAGGTATCGAGGTAAACAACTCGCACGAGGCAGCCGCTGTAAGCAACGGAAAGGCATTGGAAGCGCCGGTAGGGACGACCAACGGTGAAACTAAGGGGCAAGAAATAACGCCCTCAGATGAGAAATAAATGTGTTTATACACGAGGCGAATCGCTGCCATGAGCTTATAAAAAGAGCATGATAAATACAATCTGTACATACTATACATGCACGTCTATTGTAGTACAATTACGTGAATGGAATTTTCATGCACTTTTCATGTCGTGACAACGAATCTCGATACGAGACCCCCTAATTCGTTTCCAGACCGAATATTTAATAGATATACTGCTGATCTCGCCCGGCTGAACGTGAAATATCCACTCAAACTCGCCAAAGGCCGCATATGTACGACGCAATATCTGAAGAGAAAAGAGCAAGGCTTACCGTTTATTGTCTACAGGCTTATGTACGTATGTTGACGATCTCTCTACATGTGGTAAATACCTCGGCTGTCCCGATGTGTTAGCAGCGTGTCAATATGTATGTTAAGACGCGAGACTGAGACAACTCTCCACATTTCCTCAGGTTTAGATGCGCTGAATGAATGCCAAGCAATTCTACGGCTACCTAGTCGAATATGACGGGGATCTGCCGTAATTTGTGCTGAAGAAGAATAGGGTCGGCGCCATCTTTAAGCGTATCCTGTCGTTGGTATATGTAATCAACGCTTGCGGTGTTATGCGTGTCTTATAGCGTAAGGCTACTAATACATCCCACTTGCTGTAATCAGGTAATCAGCAACGACAAGCCTAAAGTGCATTGGCAATCTGTATGTACACGGCATATGGAATGCCCCAGATCTTGGGGCTTCGTTACGGATGTTGCGGACAAAACTAGCTCGTCACCCGACAGGCTCGTAAGGGTAGCATAAGGGTAGCATAGCAGGGATAAGAATAGACTAAAAGAAAACGGACTCGCCGTCGAGTTAACCTCCTGTGTACGTACTCTTCTTCACATGTCAGTAACACATATATATTACATATCATACCCATGCATATATGTATATACCTATACTGGTAACCTAGTATAGTTGCACACGACCTTTAGCTATGTTGTATTTCATCGAACGATCGATATCTGGATACGGAGCAAACAGTCTCGATGGAGTCAAGCGACTTCATTATTCTCAGCGTGTTAACATACACGTATATAGGAGTGCGTTAGGTGCGGTTTTAATTTCTAACAGAAAAGATGGGCTATAAGAGATAATGGCATATAGGGATCTCACATGCTTAAGCAGTTGCTTAAGGGTGATATTCTTTTAGAGCCCCACCACGTGCGACTATGTAGGTATTATATTCATTTTCAAATGATTAGGGCTGCAATATTACATCAAGCAGATATTTTCTCATCCGTTCAATAGCAGGTAATATGTACATTACCTAAGGTACCTAACCTGCTATTTAGAATATACTCAGGTACAGAATAATATTCCATGCATGCCCGCGTAGCACGAAGGGCAAACCACATGTGCGCTAGGTAGTTAATGTTTAATATCTGCATGTACTTCACACTAGCAATTGCTATGCCAGGTACATGGGAATAACCAAAATGGATCAGGTACAATACCTACATGTACAATACCTAGGTACATGTATGTACTAAACGGACATTTCTCCATGCCGGCAGCTACGGGACATGCTGGAGGTTAGACAACTCGAGAATAGGGCATTAGAAAGTGGGAAGCTTCGGCGAGTTAGAAAGTTCATTTTATTATAGACACCGAAGACATCAGAAAATCTCCTGAGTTCTCTCCAAATCTCCTGGCGTAAGCGCGGGACGTCAAATTCGAAATCCGCTCCCGCGCTCCCCTTGTCGCATTGAACTCCTAACCCGCTCTCATATTCGCATCGCCTCCATTTGTGGTCCCCAAAGCTCTTTTATTCAACTTTTAATAATTTTTATAATTTTTATCATCCGCACCCTCACGTCCACGATCCACTAGCATACAGTTCCGATTGCCTTTCACTTAACATACCGTACCTACTCAAGATAGCTTTCCCTACCGGTCTGCCTATCCTATCCATAGGCTGTCTCGCTAGACGATGAGCCACCGTGAAGTTTAACCTCAAAACCCGAGTCCATCGACGGCGTCCCGTCTGCCTTGACGACGAGATACTTTCTCTTTACATATATCCCCTCTCTTCGGCCGTAACAGATACGTATATAATTAATAGGACGCGAATCGAACCTAGATGGACGCCGATATGAATTCTGGCGGTGGTGATCTGGCAAGGCAGCAGCAGCAGCAGCAGCAGCACCAACCGCCGCCACCGCCGCCGTTATCTGACTCGGGGTCGCTACCTACACCTCCTTCTAATAACTACAACACGCCGCCGGGGTCGACGACGAGTACGCAAAATGCACAAGGCGCAATGAGTTTCCGAAGGTTTGTATATAATCCAGTACGGTAGCATATTTGTATATATGCGCTATGAGTTTGCGACGAAAAGGCTGATCAAGAGTGAACTTCAATTAGACAACGTGCTTCGAGGGCATGTGAGGTGCGTATTTTAGTTCCTTTTTTTTTCCTTCTATATATACAACCTTTTCTCTTCGTGTTGTAGAGATTATCTGGCGCCCTTTTATCAATTTCAAGCTCGAGCTACCTATCTGGGGCTCGTGGTGGGATTCCTCTAAAAGAGCCGAGGCATCTCAAGAATGCGATCCATATTCCTTCTACCCTGCATTTCTAAACTGACCACTCGGATACCAACAGACTTGCCATGCTAGAAAGGTACGAAAGAATGCCGTATTTTGATTCGCCGAAAATAAGAAAAAGAAATAAACGGCTGCATCGAAAACGTTTATAGAAGGAAGATGATATTTACATAAATTATTAGGTACGATGCGATGCGGCGAGCCTTGGCGTCCCCTGTACCAATTGTGTTGCCTTCCAAATCGAATGCAAAATCCCACAGCCTAAGAGGAAGAAGACCCAGGCGAACGCGGCAAAAGATTCGGACAGGTGCGTGTACAGTCTGGCGACTACCTATGGTGTAGTGTAATTGAATATCGAGGGATTGATTAGATCGTCTATAGCGACCGTGGGGATGTCATCGAAGAGGCCTCTCCGAAGCCACACAATGCCGGCTCCTCTAATATCTTCCCGGCGCGACCGGCTGTATTACACTCCTCCGAGGGCGTTCCAACGTCGACAGCCATAGAAGCCCAAGCTAGGAAAGAAGAAGTTGACCATGACGCATACCTCAACTTGGTCATGAAGCCCAAGTTTACGAGAGCCCCCATCACTGAGGCTGGCAGGGTAGCCTTCTTAGGAGAGTCGTCGAATCTGACGCTGTTGGTTCACGATCGCCAGGGAGATTCAGATGTTGTGCATTACCCGCTTCCCGAGAATGTGCGCGGATCCAGGGCCCGCTTGACTGAGCTGGATAACATTGAGGTTGATATTCTTCATCGACGTGGGGCTTTCTTACTTCCGCCTAGGTCCCTCTGCGACGAGCTCATCGATTCTTACTTCAAATGGATACACCCCATCGTACCCGTTATAAATAAGACTCGATTTATGAGGCAGTATCGAGATCCTAAAAACCCACCCTCGTTACTCCTTCTGCAAGCCGTTCTACTTGCTGGCTCTCGAGTATGCCATAATCCGCAACTCATGGATGCGAACGGGTCGACCACGCCGGCCGCCCTGACGTTTTACAAGAGAGCAAAAGCCCTTTACGATGCTAATTATGAGGATGACCGCGTGACGATAGTCCAAGCTTTGCTCCTGATGGGTTGGTATTGGGAAGGTCCGGAAGACGTCACTAAGAATGTCTTTTATTGGAGTAGAGTTGCTATCATTGTAGCTCAAGGGTCCGGAATGCACAGGTCCGTAGAGGCATCGCAACTGAGCAAGGCTGACAAGAGACTATGGAAGCGTATCTGGTGGACACTTTTCACCCGTGATCGATCCGTGGCGGTTGCGCTGGGACGACCATGCAATATCAATCTCGACGACTCGGATGTTGAAATGCTGACTGAAGACGATTTTATTGAAGACGAGCCAGACAACGCGAGCGGAGTTACCCCTGATCCTATACATGTTCAATTCTTCCTACAGTACGTCAAGCTTTGCGAGATCATGGGCTTAGTCCTATCTCAGCAGTATTCTGTGGCATCCAAGGGCCGACGCCAGAATGCTATCGATCTCACTCACAGTGATATGGCTTTGGCCGATTGGTTACAGAACTGTCCCAAATTGGTATATTGGGAGATGCCGCGACATCATTTCTGGAGCGCATTGCTTCATTCCACCTATTATACTACTCTTTGTCTACTACACCGGGCGCACATGCCTCCTAATAGTAGTAGTAGCGCTGCCAGGTTTCCAGACGACTCTTCTTACCCTTCGCGAAATATTGCTTTTCAGGCTGCAGGGATGATCACGTCCATCATTGAGAACCTATCGGCGCACGATGAGCTTCGTTACTGCCCTGCGTTTATCGTCTATAGCTTATTCTCCGCTCTCATCATGCACGTATATCAGATGCGGTCACCTGTCTTCTCCATCCAGCAAGTTACACAAATTCGGATTCGGACCTGTATGGAAGCTCTTAAGGAGGTGTCTAAGGTATGGCTAGTAGGCAAGATGGTCCACACCCTATTCGAATCAATATTGGGCAATAGAAATATGGAAGAGAGGTTACAAAAGGCTGTTGGCAGGCATCATAGGAAAGTTCAACAAAGCTTGGCTCAGCTGGAGCAGCACCAGCAAAGACAGCAAGAAGCTACTAAACGGAAATATGATGAGATGGCTATCGACTTCAGTATAAATACACCAGTGCATCAGGAATCGTACGAGCGGTCGCGTCCGCAAACTCCCAGGAACGAACCGATCCAAAACCAACCACCACACATGGGCCCGCCTATCAACTCACCGAATGCTAGGTCTGGAGACACTTTCATGGGCACTAATAGCAGACCGCATACCCGACCGGCAACCCCGTTCAACCCGTCCTTCTCCGTCCCAACTACGCCTCCGGACCTCTATCTTGTGACTCGCAACTCACCAACCCTTTCGCAATCCCTGTGGGAGAATTTCCAACCGGATCAGCTTTTCCCTGAGAGTTCTCACATGCCGATGCCGCAAATGTCGCCGCCGCAGAATCAACAAAGTCTCGACCCGAGTCTTGTGAATCCGATACAGGCCGGTATGTCACCGCAGTCGCCTAGGCAGACCAACCAGTTCCAACCCCGGATACCGCCGAACAAGGCCGGCGTTACGAGTCCCCCGCAGGCTAACAACTTCTTACAACCAGGAATTGCAGGATACCAGTCCCAGACGAACAATCTGTGGGCGGGAGGCGACGTCAACACGGGAATGCCGGATGGCCAAAGTCCAAGTGATAGCTGGAGTACCGGGTCCGGACAGCAGCCTGTGCCGGCTACCTTGAATGTCGAAGATTGGTATGCTACTCAACCTATCAAGATGGGAACTTTGCTAACATGTTTTTCTAAGGTTCCAATTCTTCGGTATTAACGGGAGCGATGTAAACTTTTCTGGCTTGGAGATGCCCATGGGCTGAGGCTGCCCTGCTGTACAATCATACAATGATATTTCTGATGCTCTCTCGGTTCATTTTCCTGGTCTTTTTTTCAGGGCACGATTGACGTGGTATCATGTAAGTGGGCTTATGCTGTCATGTTTGCTAGGAGTTACGGTGGGCTTCTTAAGGATCGAAGCTATGCGAACATATTGGAAAATGGCCTTGTTTAAGTACTTATGAATATATATGGATGGGACATAATCGCCTATGAACAAAATTATATATATACATTTATATTTACACGGAAATGCGCAAAAGCGTACGTGTAGTAATAGAAATATTACACAATAAGGAAAAATCTTGGTTGCAAGATAAATACAATACCTATGGTTAATTATGTGATTTTAAAGAGATCCCGGATGAGTTCGATACTTAGGTAGGTATTAAATGTGAAAGGTTGCATGAATTAGGTACAATTGCAGATTGCACCAGCCAGTAAGTGCATAAAGATGCATGCTTGGTGGGATATGTACATGTTATGTCTCTCTTAGGTTAGGTACCTAGGTATGTACGGAAGTCGCCTTCAAAAGTTCTGTCCATACAGAACGCCTGTCAGCTTTGGCCGCAGCTGTCGGGCAGCCTACCCCACCTGGCAATCTAAAATCGTAAAGTATACTAGAATATATCCTTTATTATACATATTACCACACAATTAAAAATATTAAAAAAATAATATTTTTAATTATTTAATAAATATAATGCCTTAATTATATTATAGTATATATTTTCATAAATTAGCTTTTATATTTAAAATGTAATGAGTAAATTAAAGTATAGCATATTTAAAGGTACATTTATTATTATGGCTGCCAGTTGCCGCCAAGCCTTGTCAAGCTGACAGGGGCTGGCCTATGGACAAAACTTTTGAAGGCGACTTCCGTACCTAAGATAGGAGATAAATACATGTATCCTTGTTAGGTAGCAGCTATTGTTAGCTCATTTTCTCAGCGTCCACAGCGCTGTTTCAGCCGTCTTGGCCATTATGGCGGTGCTTGGTCTGGGGCTGACGGCACCGTACCAGTGTACCTTACGTAGGCAGTACATAATTCAGTATTGTATGTACAATATTGACGTGCAGACCCTGTCCAATCCCTAAAGGGGGATCCAATAGTACGTGTACAATTCAAGGAACCTCCTGTAATGTAAACTTCTTTCTACATAACCTACCTAGGTATCAACTAAGATTGTGGCAAGCAGATAACTACATACCTTGAATTGTTCCAGTACCTCTCTTTCGTTTTGCCAGTTGTTGAACCGATATTTCTTTCTTCCTCTTATATCTTTACTATTGCCAGTTCCGAGCCAGGTAACGTTCAACTGACACGACAGCTCGTCTTCTCACGTACCATTCACACATGCCACCATTCGGCTGATTGCCGATTTGACCGAAACCCCAGTGATCATATGTGTTATATCGCTCTACGACGGAGATAAGAATAAACCTGCTTGCAAGCTACTTTTCGTCCGATGCGATCAATGTTATCTATTAATCCACACCAGCCCTAGCCTCCATAGGCTCGTATCGCCCTAGACTATGGCCGATGCGGGTAGGAAGTCGAGTCCTGTCGCCCCGAGGTCTACCACTGGTCTCGTACCTGCCAGTGCTGACGATGCCACTTCCATGAGGTCGCGAAGTAGAAGAGCTCCCGCAAATAGAGATGCAATAAAATCCCCAGGCTTAACACCCGCCCAGAGTTCTGCACCCAGTAGAGGTGTGAGTCCTATGCCATCTCCACACCTCGGGAGCAGCAAACTACTTTCGAGCGGACGGTCGAGTCCTTCTAATGCCGCATTCTCACGCGGGCTTCTCGAGGGCTCATGGACACCGAGCTGGGCATCCGTTCAAGACTTTGCATCTTCTTTATTGGAAGGCGGTTACAGCAGCGAACCTTCACGTCCTAATAGCCGCAACGGGAATAAGCCACGACCGAAATCGATATGGAAAGGACTTGGAAGTGGGATTGCGAAAGCAGGCAAGTCTCCTAACGATTGGGGACCAGCACCTCCGGCCGAATCACAACCGGTTGCCGGCGACATCGGAGCAGGGTCTCTTGCGAAGCGGGAGGCACAGTTGAAAGCTAGGAAAACTGCCAGTGTATTAGAGAGCTACGAGGGTGTCAACGGTGGTCTGGATGTGGCTGGGAAATATAAGAGGAGGAACTCGGACGAGACTCCACGAGGCGATACGGAGGCCGTCGAGGAGCAACTGGTCTATTTGCACCATGTACAACCCACAGATACATATGCGGGTATTGTCCTTCGTTACAGATGTCAGGAACATGCATTCAGGAAAACGAACGGTCTATGGTCACGGGATAACATCCAAGTGCGCAAGCATTTGATGATACCCGTTGATGCATGCGAGCTCAAGGGCCGGCCGTGCGACCCTCCATCCCAATACTCTCAGAAAGTTGATCTTTTAGCTACTACCCCCATGACTGCGGACCTCAGAAGCCCTATCACATCTACTCCACAATCGCGACAGACGCACGATAGTTACTTCGACTCTATCAGTGGCAAGTCAGCAGGACTTCTTACACAAGGAGACGAGGAACCACTTTGGACCCATGCGCGATGGGTCAAACTCGATTTTTTCCAGGACCCCGTAGAGATTGTTAGAGTCTCAAGGAAGTCAATGGGATATTTCCCCCCCAGACGAAAGAAGAGTATTCACACTGTATCCACCTTCTCAACCCCGCGCCACTCTCTCGACCTATCAAAAGCCCTAACAAACACGTCCGAAGTCTTCGACAGCCCAGCTCAACTCTCATCCAGGCGGCAAAGTTCCATCAGTGCGCGGCCAGCAGCCGCGAGTCTTGGGACTTCCTCGCCCGCTAGAAGCAGAGTCACTAGTCTGGGCGAAGCGGATAGCGTACCGGCGTGGATGCGCAGGCCGGGAGGAGTAGGGTCGATGGGAAGGAGCGTTAAGGCGCCGGGCCCGGCAAAGGATTACTTCAACACATGGGTCAACAAGACGCTCCCCGGACTCGGCATCGATTCGATGCCCTCGATGTCCGTTATGGGGTCCGAGACCGCGCACTTCGGGTTCAACAAGGCGGCAGAGGAAACAGCCGGGATCGTGGAAAGCCCCTTTGAAGAGGGTCGAGAAGCTACCTCCCCGCCCGGCAACGGAATGGGTCTCGAACACGCCGCCGCGTCTATCGAGTCCTGGCTCCGCGGGGCGTGGGCAAAGCGCCCGGTTACGCCGAGACTGAGCTCCCACAGAAGACCTACCGAGGATATTGATCTCATTGAGTTGGCGGATGCGAATAGCGACGATGGACGCAGAGGGTTGGAGCCGGGACTCTTAGATCAGGGTTTCCGCGGGAACGGTGCTACGGGCCGGGGCGAGGGTGAAGGTACGGTTAGGGGCCGTTCGGCGCCGCTGAATGCGGTTGTGGGGAAGGGGAAGAAGGCTGACTGAGTAAGGGAGGGAGTGAGGGAGTGAGGGAGTAATTGGTTGGTGGGAAGGGTGGGTGAAATATACAACGACGGTCCGATGATGAAAATTTAGAAGAGCAATCATTTTCGATAGATGGCAGTTCAGCCCGGTTCGAACTGGTCCGATTTTTCATGTTTGCGTGCGTGTACCCAGGCAGTCAACTTCGCCGCGGCGGCGGCAGCAGCAGCAGCAGTAGCCGCAACATATCATGGCCGTCCTCTTTTTTTTCTCCCCGTTTCCTCGAGGCACTGTGTGCGCACGTTGGCTGGCTGACTTGGTGTTGTTGATATGTGTGTGGCCTGCATTGCCGGAGGCGTTCAGGGGAATCCCATGGCGTTTTTTTTTTTTTTTGTGTGTGTGTGTGTGTGTGTGAGTGTGCCACGTCGCGGGTTTTGAAATTACTTATTTATGCCCAGCCCCTTTTGTTGTTGTTGTTTTGTATATAGATATAAGTAGTCAAGTTACTATTACATAAAGATACTTTACAGACTTGAGAGCTTGCATTAATTAGGGAGAGGGAGGAGGGGAGACGGGATTTAAGCATGTTGGCATTTTTAGTGCTATGCTACTTTAGTAGTGGGATAGTATAAAATAGTCAGTTAACTAAGTTACTTATTTGTTAACTTAACTAGGTTAGGTAGGTAGTTGTTATTGCAAGTCCCGAAGCAGAACTGCGTAATATTATTATGTTTTTTGCGTGCTTGGGTATTTTACTTGCTCGTTAGTAGTGTATTTGTGTTGCGTTTATAAGAGGTGGTGGTATAAGGGGTGCTTATGTTGAATCTTATACCTTATCTAAGCTACGATAGGAATCATGCGAAGCTGGTTATCGATTGGTGCTTAAACTTCAACTTACACACATACATAACAGGTAACCTAGCACTTGAGCTTTATCTTTATCAACTCTAGGGTTTCTGTTCAATTGGGTCCTTGCTGCGTCATGAAGTATACGTAGACTTATTATATATGTAGGTATGTATGTACATGTAGGTAGGAATCAAGCTTCTATACTTAAACTTGCACATGTAGCCTGTTTGAATGCTTCTGCTAACTATCGAGTACCGTAGTAGTCATGCTTCCGCGACACTCACCACCTGGCGATAATCCCATCCTCACCCCATCTGCAATCGCGAATGCCACCCTCCTCCTCCTCCTCCTCCCAATCGCATAGGAGGCACATATTACCTATTACTGCAATTGCACGCACCATTGCAACTAGAGAAAAAGACATACGAGAATATGCCGATCTGCATCGAATGCCGGCACCCGGTCAAGACGCTGTGGACGCAGTACTCGGGAGCCGGGGACCCGTCGAGCGGGCACAACATCCGGCTGACGGTGTGCAAGAAGTGTGGGCGCTTCTGCGACAAGTACGTCGAGCATGACTTCGTGGTGCTCTTCATCGACCTCGTCCTCATCAAGCCCCAGGTCTACCGCCACCTGCTGCACAACACGCTGATGCGCGAGCGCGACCAGTTCGACGTACGTCTGCTATTTTTATTTTCCATGTGTTTATTATATGTATAACTACCTACCTAGGTACCATTTGTTGTATCTACGTGAATGGTGAATGATGCTGATCGGTCGGGAATATTGCCAACAACAGCCGTCTATTATACGTCTCGGAACGCTACTGCTGCTCTTCGACGTCTATCTCACTTGGGCCCGCATCGAGAAGCAAGCTGCGCCTAACTCGAGTTCTGCTATGGGAGGAAGTAACCTGGGGGGGCTGGCGCAGCAGCCTATTGTATTTCAGTATCTATTCTTTCGTAAGTTTCTCCTTCTCTCTCTCTCTCTCTCTCTCTCCCCTAAACCATTCTGCTAACCCGTTACTCAGTAATCCTATGCACCTTCTCTACGCTCGCCTTCCACCTCAGCATCCGATTCCTGACCTCGTCGCCGCTCTCCCCGCTCAATTTCCTAGGCCTGTTGCCGACGTATGCGCGGCCCAATTCGGTATCGACGGCCCTCCTAGTCTCGTCGTCCACTAAGCTGTTCCCGATCCTCATGGTCATCTGGGACTACGACGTGCCGGCGGCGGCGCGCAGCCTCGGCTGGGCCGTTGTCGCAAACAACGTGGAGGCCCTTAAGATCCTACTTGACTGCGGGTACGGCGTCGCGCTGGCTCTGGCGGCTGCGGGCGCTGTCGCTCGCTGGTTAGTGGGCAGAGCGGTCTTGTGGGTCGTTGGGCTCGAGGACGTGGACTCGGGGGGCGAGAGCGGCGTTGCGGCTGATGGAAGAGCGTTGTGGGCGCTGCTCGTGTATGCGAGGGAATGGGCGGGGAGGCTGGCTGTTGGGTAATATATTAGTTGCTTCTAGCTCCGAGCAGAGTGCTCGTGTAAAGGGATACAATATAAATCGCAAAGAAACCAAATTCGTTCAAAATGCGGTCGTATTAAGAACACTATGTCCGTGCAGATGTCCAGCAATGTCTGTTCGCTCTGTTGCTGCCAAGTGCTGATATGATTGATGCCCATCTTCCAGAACGCCAAAACCAAACATGTAGATAACGGTAGCGATGTGTTATACAGGTCCATCCCGGCTTAGTCCGGCTAGTCTTTCTCTCCTCATAATACTGTCGTACTCTTTGGCATTCTTCTTCCTAATGTTCGAGCTAAACACTAAGATGATTCCTCTGCATTCCCGACTTCCGTAACTCTTACAAACTTGATTGTCCCTGATCCCTTTCAACCCGTCTTTCCGCATTGGATCGCTTCGTAACGAGGAGAGACGCAGAGCCCAGCTCATTCGTGTTGGAAGCCCTCGCGGATGTTAGACCGTCTCGGCTCGATAAGCGGGTGCAGTTGGGCCATGAAGGTGATGAACCACATCAGGTAGCAGCTGGCGAAGGCGAGGATGAGAGAGGAGCGCCACGTCCTATCATCAAATCCGCAGTCAGCAAGTAAGCAAGCAAGCAAGCAAGCAAGATCAGCATTAAGAATATGAGGTTGTTCCTCTCATGAGAATGGGAAATGCGAGAAAAAGAACAACTCACGCCTGGTTTTCGCCCTTCGGCGAGAAGAACCAAGCTGCGACGCAGAGGGCGACCACGATGGCGAGGCCGACGAAGATGCTGTAACTGCGGTATGGTCAGCAGGCGGCGCGCGAGGGCATTGCAACAGACGTACCCCTTTGCCATGTTGTAAGCAGGGCGATTGTCGACTTCGAATTAGTGGGATTGGTAGCTGGGGAATTGTGAAGGATTAGGTAGGTAGGTAGGTAGGTAGGTAGGTAGTTGGCGTTGGAAAGCGTCGGGTCTAGATGGAAGCTTGCCTGGTTAATTGATCGGGGGACTTGTAATTGGTTAACGCGGTTCAGCCCTGTTACTGTTGCTGTTGCTGTTGCGCTGAACGGTTCAGGAACTTCAGGACGTTAGGGACGCTAAAGGTATGATTACATAAGTCAGACGGTCTTATAAAGGGTAGGTACGTACGAAGTACATAGGTACATATTCTTTATTGCTCGATCCCTGTTTTGAGATGGCATTTAAACTCAAGAGTTCACTCAATTCACTCAATTGCAACAAGCATCATTTTTTTTTACTGTTTTAGGGCAATTGAAGCTATTTTTTAAGATTTGAGTGAGATCACATTGTTTGTCTCATAAACTTCTTAAGATCTCTAACGCAACAATTCAAAAGCCAACACCAAGTAACTAATCTCTTCTATAAATCATGCGTCGTTCTCAAACTTCAACCCGTAGTCTTTCCTCGCAGCGCCGTAGATTCCCGCGATATCGCCTTTGTCGCCACCCGCGTGCTCGGCGACGCTCTTCAAGTAGTTTTGAGCGACACCCAGCAGCCTGAGCTCGGCACCTCCGCTCTTCGCCAAGTTTGACGCGTGGCCCGCGTCTTTAAGTGCGTTGTTAGCTGAGAAGAGCGGCTCTTCCATCTTCCAATAGGTGCCTTTTAACATGCGCTCCGAGTAAGCGCTGTATATGCCGCCGTACATCTGGTCGATAAGCTGCTTTAGTGGCTCGGGGCCGATGCCGATCTTCTCCGCCGTTGCGAAGCCCTCGCCTAGTACCGTCGCCATGTTCACGATGAAGGTATTGCCGAGTAGCTTAAGCTTTAGCGAGTTCGCTGGCGGCTGATCCTCAAATGGAATCTCTGCCCGGCCCATCACGCCTTTAATATAGGGTCTTATCCTGTCGATGGCAGACTTGGTTCCTGCAGGGACGAAACTGTGTTTCTAATATGAGCAAATGAGGTCTTAAGAGTAGGTCGGGGTGAAAGGTTCCGACTTACACGAGCTGGCCTGCTTCGGCTGCTGCTGGCGCTCCAAAAACAGGACTAGCAATGAAATCGCCCCCCTTCTCAGCTACTAAGTCGGCAGCTTTTTGTGTAGTGTCCGGATGAATCGTGGAGGACTCGATGAACAGCTTGCCCGCTACGTCAACTTTAAGGATGGTATCGAAGATGTTCTGGACTGCGGCGTCGTTGGAGAGAATGACAAAAATTATGTCGGCCTTCTTGACGCCCTCCTCGATAGAATCGACGATTTCAGTCTTTCCCGCGGGAAGCTTAGATGCCACGTCTTCGGAACGCTTTCTCGTTCGGTTGTATAAGAGCAAGGGCTTCTCGAGGTTGCCTTTCTCCACCAGATTCTTCACCATACCCTTAATGAGAGAATTAGTGAATCAGGCGCAAGTGTCATGATACATGATATTAGAGACTTACCCTCCCCATGTTCCCTAAGCCGATCCATAGTAGTTGAGGTGCCATATTTACTACCTATATCTCACCGGCTACTAAAACATATTAGTAACTATGTTAATTACTATAGTTACCTAGATAAGTAAGGTAGGTAATAAGTAGTGAGTATACTTAGTAGATAATAGTACCTTTTATTTGAGCGTGATAGAAAATCAGATATCGTAACACCCAGATAGTTTCAACAAATCTAAAGTGGTTATGTTTTCCAAGCGTCTATTTTTCAAACTTTAGGAACATCAGCAGAGGGGTAGACTTTGTATATAATATGATAAAAAGTAACTGTTGCAGTCACTGGATGATAATATGCCCGGTCATCGACTAAAACTGCCCCGCAAGCTTCCGGTCTAAGGCGAGACACTTTTCGTCATTTTCGTCATTAATATTCGGCTTTAACTCGTTCATATATGCAACCAAATAAACTTATATCGGCAGCTGGTTGATACCAAGAGCTATATAGCAACCATAAATATGCGCTTAGCCGCTCAGGATGTTATTAAGTAGTAGGGTACGGTCCGGCGCTCGCGCGAATCTCGCTCTTATTACAAACCTCACTCGAGGACCTCGTCATCGTCGGCCCCTTCATCTAGCTCCACCTTTTCTCCTAGATGACTATACCCCTCGGTACCAGTTGCTATCGGAGGCTGACACCGCCAAGAAGCGCGAGCTCGCCCGCGCGCATCTCCGGAACTGTAACCTTTGCCCCCGGCTTTGCGGCGTTAACCGCTACGAGACAACGGGCATGTGCCTCATCGGACATGACGTCAAGGTCAACGTAATCGCTCCCCATTTTGGCGAAGGTCAGAGAGCCGATTCCATAATATTTGTAAATCCGGACTCAAGCTAATATTAAGCAATAGAGCCTTGTATACAAGGTCACAACGGGAGTGGCTCTGTCTTCTTCTCCGGGTGTAATCTTCGATGCACGTTTTGTCAGAATCACGATATTGCTCATCAGAGGAATGGATTTGACTTGACGCCCGAAGAGCTGGCGCAGTGGTATATTAAATTGCAGGACGTTGGCCATGTTCACAATATTAATCTCGTTACTCCCGAGCATGTGGTACCGCAAGTGGCTTTGTCCATATTACATGCACGCGATCTGGGACTAAAGCTCCCCATCGTCTACAATACGTCAGCATTCGACTCGCTCGCATCACTAGAGCTCATGGATGGACTTGTCGATATATATCTCCCAGACTTCAAGGTGTGGAACAAGGCTACGTCTCAACGCCTGCTGAAAGCCGAAGACTATGCCTCTACCGCTTCCGAGAGTATTAAGGCCATGCATGCGCAAGTCGGGGACTTGTGCTTCACCGGTGACGGTATAGCGAAGAAGGGCGTGCTAGTCAGACACTTAGTAATGCCGGGAAAGGAGGCGGAAAGTGAAGAAATCATGAGATACCTAGCGCAGAATGTTTCGCGAGATATCTTCGTCAACATCATGGAGCAGTATAGACCTGATGCTCACGTTGGGAAACCAAAGAGAAGAACCAAGAAGGAGACGGCTGAAGAGGGAAGTCAAGAGGAGGTCAGATATGCGGATATCAGTCGACCCGTTACCAAGGAAGAGATATCAATTGTGAGGAAGACCGCAGAGGCTGTAGGACTAGTAAGTTGTGTCTTTTCTGAGCTATTTACACTAGGTATGAATCATATGAAGTTAGCGATCACTAACTGGTATTGATATAGTGGCGCTTTTGCGATCCTCCTCGACATGATGGTTTTGCTATATGATATCTCTTACATACATAAGAGTCTACTGGGTGTATTATTATTTAGATTTATTATATTTGGTACATACTATTAATCCAACATGTTCTATACAGAAACCCGAGAACCCTTTTTGAAAGACATTAATATGGTCTGGAAGGGAAGCTTTACACTCCAGAACACGCTTTACTCATTCCAGAACCATTTCCATTGTAGATTCGAATCAGCCCGTACTGGATAAAGCCTCAGTCTATGAAGTCCAAGGCATATCTATACAGTTATAGTAAATGTCTATTACGTTCCTGAGTTTGACATCTTTTGTTGATACTAACATCCTACCGCAGAACAATAAATATATACTAGGGGTTTGATTCTACAACGTATATTCACTGATAGGTAGACATCTGTTTTCTTTATAGAAACTCTGGCTGCACCTAGAATCGTAGCTTGCCTTGTGCCGATACTATTGCCGTGAAACCAGAGCATCCCAGAGAACTGGCTCTCCTTGAACTATTTCTATTCATTTTCTTATACTAGTGGATAGCTATCTTATTCACTTTGCTAGATAACTTGCTCTACAAATAGCCCCGTCTCTCCACGTACATATAACACAGAGCAAGTCCTATAAGCCAAGTTCGCAGAGGCCTCAACTTCACCATGCCAGAAAACCCAGAAGACCAGAAGCCTCGCCACAACCATGGCTTCAGGAATCATATGAATAGATCACGGCCATCCCATCATCATAGAGGTTCTGATCCAGAACCTAGGCAGACGAAAGTTCGCAGTGACCCCTGGCAATCGGTTAGTGCGTTACAACTAGGGCTTCACCCACGACCCTTCCATGAACTACATAGGGAGCGTCTATATCTCCTTGAAATGCTACAGCAGCATAATACACGAGCCCTCAAGCTATTCGAGCAGGTGCCAATCGTCGAAGAGAAGATACAGAAGGCTGATACTCCGTACAAGCTCAGACAAGCGAAGAAAACTCGCGGCTGGCTGAGACATCGTATTACTGACACTGTCGAGGAGGAGAAGAAGGTACTAGCGCGACTGAGCGAACTGCATGTTGAGATACAGTGTCAGGAGAGATGGCTCCAAGTTGAGATGGAGAGGGTAGCGAGGGGACTTTCGCAGCAACACCACAACCCCAACTTTGAAGATTTCCTTGCGCCGCCAATACCGCCATGGCCCCAGGCGAGCCCACATCCGGTCTGCAACGCTTATCATCCACCCTACACGGGCATTGTATACCCAAATGCACCGCCCTGGGACGCCTTTCCGAGCCAAGGGGCTTATCCTGGATATTATTGGCCAAATCCAACTTACATATGCCCCACGAACGTGCCGGAAGCCCCTCGTACGCCCAGCCCATTTGAAATAGACAGCACCTTTAGTAGTAATGCATTGGACGATACGTATAGCAGCCACGTAGAAGTTACTGCGGGAAGCCCTGAGATGGAACAGCGGTGGCCAAGTACTCCGCCTCCAATAGGTGAAGACAGTACCGAGCACAATCAAAAGCGGTGCAACTCTACATGGTTTTAGGGTACTGGCACGCGTTTTGGATTGTAGTGTGAAGGACGGTACGGATTTAGATAAGGGGCGGTTCATAAGTCATCGTTTAGAGTGTTCATAATGAGAATCTACTTCGTCCCGAGAGTAAGACTATCACCGATAGTGTATCCCCCCCCCCGTCGTAAGCTATCCAGTAATAAACTTTCGTTCAAGCTACCCAAGTCCAGTGCTTCATGCAAATTCTCCAAACTTGCCGTTGTCAAACCCTAAATCCTGCGCCGACAATCGCTTTGCGCGCGTGCTGCTGTGCGAAGTTGGTGGGGGCGGAAGTATTCCCGAACCGCGAGGCGCCGAAGCAGGTGATGCCGAAGACGGCGGCGGAGGTAACGAGAACGACGATAGACCCTCACTGCCCGAGCCCTGAGGGGGCGGCTCTGGCTTCCGTCTGCCGAATCTTCCGGGTAAGTTGACCGTAATCGTCTCGCCTTCTTTCAGGCTGAGATCGCGCTTCTCGGCGCTGTCTTTCCGCTCGACGGCCGGCTTCTTCCCGGCCGGGCCCCCGGCCTGGCTGCTCCAGCCGAGCGTCTTCTGGGCCTCCTGCAAGGACACGCCGAAGTCGAAGGCCTCGCTGCGCTCCTCGAAGCCGATGCCGAGACTGGCCTTGCGGCCGGCGTCGTCCTGCACGCGCAGCGCGAAGAACCGCGAGCTGTCGGAGACGGGCTCGACGACGGCGGCGGCCGTGTACGGTGCCGCGGCAAATAGCTGGCCCGTGCTGGCGTCCTCGAGGATGATATCCGTCTTCACCTGCTCGTCGCCGTCACCATCGCCGTCGCCGTCGCCGTCGGTGTTGTTGCCGGGCACGGGAATAGCAGTCTCGATGACGCGCATGCGCGCCGTGAAGATCTGTCGGTCATTGCTGCCCTCTCCCGTCCAGGTCGCCGCGACATGTCCCTTCCCGGGCGTCATGGGCGGGATGTTGTAGACATGCACGGGGCTCGCTACGAACAGCACTCTCTGGATGGCATCGGGTGGCAGCGTTCGGCCAGTAGCCGGGTCGATTGACTCCATATTTTTTTTTTCTTCTTTGCCTTGATTTTACCTCATGTACCCCACGTACAGCGGATGGCGTGCAGAAGTTATGTGATGAGGGGTAAGGGGTGAGGGGTGGTCGGTGGTCTGTCCGGTTTGCTAGTCGGGATGGATGTTGATGCTTCTTTATCATGTAAGTCCAGCCAGCGTCTATGTACAGACTCTAGGTATGACGAGGGTCGGCGGCGGAGCTTTAGACCACCCCTGAGTCCCTGCAGGCCTGCAGGAGCTGCCCCTATTATGTACCTCATACGTGGGTAAGTAGGTAGGTACCTATGTACCGTACAGGTATGAATTGCCCCGCTAAGATAATCGATAAGATATGTACCTAGTTAACTACTATACCTTTGAAGTTTCCGATGATCTACCGACTCCGTGCGCTTCATCGAAAAATCCTCAGCGTCACTTATACTGTCTAGCCTGAGGTCCTCATCAGCATGGCATTGATTCCCGCCGCGAGCTTGGAACTGCTCACGACGGCTGGCCGGAGCGTTTCCCCTGGGGCGGCGCTCCTGAGATCATCTCGCATGTTCTCAATGCCAGCCCCAATACCTGCTCCTCCTGGTGACCTTTCTTCGGCAACTAAACACTACTCTCCGACTTCCACGATCCACTTCCCGACGCATCTTACTGTGACGACGACTGCCTCCTCTCGAATCAATGGCGATTGGGGCTTTAAGCGACCATTTCCTCTAAAGACTACGACGAATACCACCTATCCCCTCGCGCGGGTAAGGCAGGTCGATTCTGTCGAGCAAGTCACAGATTTCCAGTCTGCATCAGACCATACGATGACTCTACGGAAGTACCAAGAAATGAACTTACCAATTAGCGTACCAATCTCAAACAGCATGGATAATACGGCTGTTAGACATACGAAGTCGGTCTTTGAGGAGGATGCCGATCTGACCGCTTTAGACGATGAGCAGAAAGCGGAACTAGCGAACAAAAGGTGGAAGTTCTCAGGGCCATGGCTTGCCGGTATGACAGATGGCGACTTTAAGAAATTTCTTGATAAGAAGGTGCGGAAGAAGCGTGTAGAATTCCGTGCCTTTTTAAAGAAGATCTACGCGGTCGAGTTGTCGAAAGAACAGGCGCAGAAGGCTGGCGACGCTGGGGAGGAGATACCACCACCACTCACCGCTGACGAAATTACGGATGAAGAATTGACAGAATATATGAGGGAACTGAGGCAAGACCGCATGGTCCTGTACAACCTCGTCAGTCGGTTCCTCGATCTTGCTCCAGTAGATTTGGCTACCGAACTCGAAATGCTTGGTAGATTGATGCCAGGAAGAAAGACAAAACTGGTTCGTGGGAGTCCGTACGGGGCAACCGGACCCCCTATTACACACCCTTCCGCTGGTATTTCTTATCTGCGCACCCGGAATTTCCAGGAGAACCATGCGATCTACGGACCTCAGCTACATCACACCCCTATCAAAGCGAGAGTCTTGAAACCCACGAACTTCGCCACGGGCAGTTTCGGACCGAGCATCGGTATCGCTGGATTCGTCGGCCACGCGCCGGCCGAGGATACATCATTCAACTCATCGAAGCAGGGGAACGTATCTTTGATCAGCGCAGCCATACACAAGCTAAATCTCGATAAAGACGGTGGATCGAAGGTCTACGTGCAGCCCAGCATGGCCACGGTCGATTCCACCGGAAGGATCTACGTCAACATAGGAGATGCGAACGAGCAGAGCCAGCTGGTGCAGAAAGAGATGGTGGGAGAGGGCAGCGTATTCGACGAGGTTGTGAAGAAGGGTGCGACTCCGCAAGTGCCCCGTAATCCTAGAGACACTGGTAGATTTAGCGTGCGGCTGGGAAGCAAGACATCTGGCAGTGCGAAAAGTTACGGCCTCGGCCAAACTTTTAGGGGTGATAAGCACTACGAGTAGATTCACGAGGGTTCCAGTCCCTGAAGTGGGATGAAGTAACGGAGGCATCATGTAGCTGTGTGGTATTTGATGTAAGCTCGGTGCTTTGTATGATTTCTGTACATATCAGATAGGAGATATTCTCTATGAGCTCTATGAGGCAATAGAGGAGCCCTAGTAAATCAACACTCAAGCTCAAGTGATTCCATATATCCTCCTTTGACCGTATTGGTGTTTGGAATACGTACCTACATGTAGTTGGACGCCCTTAACGTAGGTAGGTAATAGCACATAGGTACGTATAGTAGATCTGGCAGCTGTCAACCGCCATTCAGCGGCTGTCAGATAAGTGCTTAGATTAGGTACTTAGGTACTTAGGTACTTTTAAAGGACCCATTAATTCTTGCCGATTAAGACGTGATTCTCTTCTGCCCTAGGACCCAGAGTTTTGCCGAATTTCCCCCCCACACAGATTCTGCACACTCCCAATAATTCTTTTCGAGACATCCTCAAGCGCAATTTTAACAATCTTCGGACTTCAACAACCACATTCCCCCTACTAACCTGTAGCCAATACCGCCAAAATGGGTCGCGTTCGCACAAAGACTGTCAAGAAGTCCGCCAAGGTCATCATTGAGCGGTACTACCCCAAGCTCACTCTCGACTTCGAGACCAACAAGCGTGTCTGCGACGAGATCGCTATCATCGCCTCCAAGCGTCTGCGCAACAAGGTCAGCAACTACCTCCGGCCTATATGCGAGACGGAACATTGCATGCAACTGCAATGGTCGAACTAGCAGGAAACCCAAGCTAACCGGGAGGCTTACAGATTGCCGGCTACACCACCCACTTGATGAAGCGTATCCAACGAGGACCTGTCCGTGGTATCTCCTTCAAACTGCAAGAAGAGGAGCGAGAACGCAAGGATCAATACGTGCCCGAGGTCTCCGCCCTTGACTTCGTCCAGAACACCGAGGCTGGCCAACTCGACATCGATGTTGAGACCAAGGACCTGCTGAAGCACCTTGGCGTACGTTTATTCTCCCTATATTGTCTCCGAGTTAAATGACAATTGCTTACCGTGATCTGTTCTATAGTTCGACAACGTCCCCGTCAACGTCGTTCCCGTCACCCAGCAGCAGACCGCTGAGCGACCCCGCAGATTCGGCGACCGCGCTCCTCGATAAACGTTGCAAATATTAGCGATTTCCTCACGTGAAAAGTGAAGGAGGGTTATGATGGTTGGTTTGGGCAACTGGTATCGGTCTTAACATGGCTTTACGGCGTCTATACTACGGACGATAGTAGGTACCGTTCTAGATCTGCAATTGACGAGATCTTTCCCACACAAGGTGTCCCTGATTCTCCAGTGTTCTCTCTGGGGATGACGGTTGATGGCCAATTCTTATTCCTTCTGCCCGTACGTGACTTGTACTTGACTAGGATTTACAAAGTCTAGGTCGTTATTAACCCCTTCAGTCCCGGTGAATTGGACAACTCGGCATTGCGTATAAGGGGATGGTCATGATGTGGTGGCCATTAACAACACTGTGTGTCTCGGTATAAGTAATTGTCTTTGCCATTATTTTCTACTAAGGGTATCTCAAATGATCTTAATCAAAACGCCGGAATTATGCTAGTAATGATCAAAATGCCGTTATATCATTCTGCTGTCGGTTTTTCAGAATTATCCTCTTTCACATTTTCATCTTCGCCTTTTTGTTCCAGCTCTTGGTTGAATTTTGGCTTGTACCCGTCCAGTACCAAATGGCTCTCACCATCTTTATCCAGCGTGGGCTCTTGCGGAGCCATCTTAACGGACTTCTCCCTAATCGTAAGCTTAACCCTTCTCGTAGACGGCTTGTCCACGGCATCGCCTCGTTCAAGCGCTAGATCCTTCGCATCCTGGGCAGCCTTCCTTTCTACGCTTTGTAACTCCCTCTCGAGCCGTCTAGTCGCATCGTCTTCTTCTTCTTCCTCGGCCTGCTTCGGCTCGTCCAGCAGATCGATCCGGATAGACGAAATGCCTGCCCGTTCCCAGGCCGCGGTCTCACCAAGCTGCACCTTGACGTACATGGCCCGGCGGGCGCACTCCCGCGAGCACCACCGCTCTAACTCCTTCCGCGGCACGATGCCAAAGTCGCCCCGCCCCCAGCTCACCAGCTTGTACTCGCCGCCCGGGCCGAGACGCACGCGCGGGCGCGGGCACAGCGCGTACCCGCATTTCTTAAGCGTGTTGCGCTCTTCGATCAGGTCCTCGTAGTCGCCCGGCTGGAAGAGCCGGACTAGCTGCCGGAAGGTGTCGGCGTCGGAAGGGGAAGGGTTCGAGGAGTCGTATGCAGCCGAGGAGGCTAGGGGCAGCTTGGACAGCTCGATGATGGAGTCCTGGATCTCGTCTTCGAATGCGTGCTGCTGCTGGATTATGCGCGCTTGTTGGATGGCTGTTTCGCGGGCGTTGGGTTTGGAGGCGGTTGGTTTGTGTTCTTGGATTGGGAAGGGGGAGATGGGGGCTATGGCTGCGGAAGGAGACGAGGTGTTGGTGGTGGTGGTGGTGGTGGTGGTGGTGGTGGTTGTGGGTTTCTTTAAGATGCCCTTGGGCTTCTTGGGTTGTGACGAGGTTGTTGGAGCTGCCGAAGACATATTGTTCAGATCGTTGGTATGATTTCGGTATTTTGGTGGATATAAAAGATAGGTAGGTAGGTAGGTAGGTAGGTAGGTTGTCGTAACTCTTTGACTTATCGTATTGAAATTCTATATTCGTCCGTATCACAGTCCCGCTATTACGTAGCGACACAGTGGAGGGAGTGAATCTGTCTTGATATTTTAGGTAGTTTCGTATGTATTATCTGCAGAAAGCGCAATCACCCCGCACGGTGCAAGTTGTATTTACCTAGGTTAGGTACCTAGGTACCTAGACAAGGCAATGTGCCACAATGAAAGGTGAGGCGTTTAGCCACCGGACTTACTTACCTCCATCCATATGTACCTCCATCTATGTAACAAAAAGGAGCTTGCCTCAAGCGAGGGAAAGGTGCATATAGCATCGTCATTGGCCCGTGCACTTACATTAATATTAAGCATAGGTACCTAGGTACCTAGATATGTACTCCCATAGGTAGTAGCAGCCTAGGGACGCTCGGAGCGGGCATCAGCATTGAAGCTAAGCCAAGCCGACGAAACCTTGCACACTGCATTGCATCCTTTCCCTCACATCTGAATCCCATCAGGCGTCCAACCGCACTTTTCAGAACTTTTTATCTTTTGCCGATTAGATTAGTCCCGACCCTTACTGATCCCGTTGAATACTGGAATACGGGGAATACAAAGCAGCTCACTAATCATATGCACCAAACCCAACCTGAAGCACGCAACCTCGGTCGACCGGGCTAAGCTTGGCTTTTACGGTGGGTTACATCTCATCTATTCAATCTTGTAAAAGCCAACCATATAAAGGGTATGTACAAGTTCATGCGCTGACGTCGACCTACTCCAGCCGCTAGCTGTGACAGGCTGCTTGCGAATGCTCAGCCTCATGTGTTCCCCTTTCTACCCAATTTATCGGATCGTGATACATCACCTGTTGTATTAAACAAACTCAAGAATAGATTCATTCTTGTTTCGTCTCCAACGGCTAGAGAGAAACAACCCCAATTTACGGACCCCACGGTCGCCTTCATTTTACTTACTGTCTACGACCCCGCCAATTGCACAAGAAGCTCCCGAGATCGAGTTCCACTAGGTAATATTACAACATTACCACCTTGACATACCATCGCCATGGCTGCCGTGCCATTCAAGGTGAAGGCCATTTACGAGTACACCTCGAGCCACGAGGACGATCTGCCCTTTGGAATTGGCCAGATCATAACCGTCACCGATAATGAGGAAGACGACTGGTACGGCGGTGAATATGTGGATGATCTAGGGGTGAGGCGAGAGGGAATATTTCCCCGAAACTTCGTGGAGAAGTATGAACCGACTGCCCCGCCACGTCCAACAAGAACTCGTAAGAAGGAGGCAGAGGTAACCCCTTCCTCGCCTCCGCCACCACCAACAGCTGCTCCATCCTCTCCACCACCTGTGGAGGAGCCTGCGGATATACCATCAGAAGTAGCCTACGGAGAACCACGTGTTGCTTCACCGCCGATTCCAGTTCCCACTCCCCGCTCTCCTCCGGCCACAGTCGCTCCTGTAGCTAAACCACTAGAGCCAGCCTCCATCCCGGCTCCCGTCCCCGTCCAACCTAAGGCTTTCGATCCGACAAGCCCCCGAGTCGCTGCTCCGTCAGTATCAAAATCTCCAGCTCCGGGTCCTGCTCGAGCTGCGCCCCCGGTGTCCGAGAAGCCCGGTGGCAATTCCTTCAGAGATCGTATAGCAGCTTTTAACAAGCCAGCAGCTCCCCCGGTTGCCCCTTTCAAACCTGGCAATCTTAGCGCCGGAAGTTCCGGCTTTATCAAAAAGCCTTTCGTTGCTCCTCCGCCTAGTAGAAATGCTTTTGTGCCTCCGCCTCGCGATGTGCCTACCGCTAAAGTCTATCGACGGGAGGAGGACCCCGAGATCAAAGCTACAGAGGCGGAATCTCTAGAAAATGCGGAGAAGGCCGGGCTCATTCCTGCGGGGACCTCCGAGGGCCAAGCGGAAGACGTACCCAAACCAACTAGCTTAAAGGAGCGAATTGCCTTGCTCCAGAAACAACAGGCTGAAGCAGCTCAACGTCATGCCGAAGCCGTTGCAAAGAAGGAGAAGCCTAAACGTCCCCAGAAAAAGCGTACTGAAAGCGAGGAAGGGCCACCGGCAGATGAGGCGGCAGAAGCCCCGGCCCCTTTGGAAAGAAGGGATACAGCTGAAGTTGCCAGCAAGAAATCTATGGATGAGCCTAGACCTCCACGACAGTCAATAAGTTCTCGGCGAAGGTCTTCTGCAGCACGTGCTGAGAATGACGGGAACGAGGCGGACATGTCCGGCGCAGGAGACACAACAGAAGGTCAAGAAGATCTCACCGAGAAAGAAGATAGTGATGAAAAATCTCGTCCCCATAGAGGAACTGCTGCTGAGCCAGAAATCCCGGAGGACCAAGAAGGAGAAGAGGGACAAGAGGAGGATGTCGACCCTGAGGTCAGACGAAAGGAGGAGCTTCGTGCCAGGATGGCGAAGATGAGCGGTGGCATGGGCTTCCATGGTATGTTTGGTCCGCCCGGGATGATGCCCGTCGGAGGCCCGGCGATACCCAAGAAACCTAAAGCTTCACCACCATCAGAGCGCCGTTCGAGCGAAATTCAAGATAGACCTTCGTCGCCTAGAATGTCCGCTCCCCCGGTGCCGACTTTGATGGCTCTCCCTGGCATGGGGAAACCCAAGCAGGAAGAGGAAGAAGCTGCCAAGTCCGATCATGATGAGCCAGGCGAGCAAGACACTACACCAGTTGTCAGTGCTCAGCCAACTGGCTCAGCTCCAGAACGTAAGTTTCAATCCCGGCGTGTGCTTTGTCTTATTATGACTACGGTAAGGCGATTAACACGACGGGCAGCTCTGTCAAATGCATCTAGTGCTCCACCTCCCGTCCCTGGAAGCCGACCTGCACCGCCCCCGGTGCCTACAGATTGTTGGTTTCACCTTTATTTTTATTTAATCTTTAATTTTTAATATTTAATTTTTAATTTTTATAGTACTATACTAATTATCTTTCCAGCTCGACCCCTTCCCACCGGCGTCACTTCACCCAGCCAGGGCTCCGAATCCGATGACGAATTATCCGAGAACCCCCAGAGAGCTCTCGAGACTCCTCGAAGCGAGGCTCCCCCGGCTCCCATAGCCTCTCCTATAATACCGACTTCACCACGAATTCCCAATCGGCCGACCTCCTATATTAGCGAACAAGTTTCACCAACCTCCCCGCCGGTACCAAGTAAGAGGAATAGCCGCCCTCCGCCTCCTATACCAGGTGGTGCTCCACCTCCCCCTATCCAAAGTCGTCCCCCACCCCCTCCTCCCCCTGGTGGTCCCCTAAGTCGCTCTTCTACCGCTGATGAGCGAATTGCACTTCCAATGCGGCCTGGGGCTCTGGATAATGGCGAAGAGGGTGAAGTTACCGAATATGAAGGCGATTATGACACTGACATCGCATCTTCGGTCCCTCATAAGGATGCGCTTAAGTCGCATGCTCGGGATTCGAGCTTCGATGATAGTGCTTCGGTGCGTTCACCGGTAACCGATGTTCCACCTTCGGTCCCCAGCGCCGCTGCTCCGAGAGTTGGTCCGCCGCCACTTCCCAGTCAACCTCCACCAGGCTCGAGAGGTTCTATAGACGTACCTCGGGCCGCTCCTCCGCCGCCACCTCCGAAGGAAGCATCCCATGACGATGACGATTATGATCCTTTCAATTACAATGCCGCCCAAAGTTCTTCTGCCACAGCTGCCCATGGTCTAGCAGCCCACGACGAGCCGACACCAACACCTCAGTCGGCTTCCGCGTATCATTCGCCGCCTCCGCCTCCGCCAGTCACCCGAGGGCCCCCACCAGCACCGCCAGTTAATAGGGCACCACTTCGAAAATCATTAGACGTGCAAAGACCAGGTGGAAGAAGATCAGTCGACGCCTCCCGACCGTCAATGGAAACGAGCTACGTGGCAAATGAGATTGATTTAGCCGGCCATACACAATGGTGGCTGTCGCCAACCGGACTTCCTCCGGTCTTTCAAGGTAGACCAGATATTTATACCGAATGTGATGAGTCAACCTCTGGGACGTCAGTTACCAAAGAAGTGTTTATCTTATTCCAAGACTACTCGCAAACAGTGGTTACTGTTCATTTCGACAGCCAAAATCCCGCAGACGTCCAGCTTGAGCAGCGCCATGAAGCACCTCCTCGGAGCCTTCGCCAGGACGAGCTAGAAGGGGCGTACGAGCAATTTGGTCGAGCACTATCCAGTGCCGTTGCGACCAAGAAGGACTCAGTAGTTGGCGACGGATCTCCGTGGGCGCTCATCCTAGAGCTTCTCAAGCCTCTGAAAGGTGTCCTACTTCCTGTCGGCAGGCGCGGTTATGGTGCCTTAGTTTACGCCAATTTAGCTAATGCTTCGACACAACTCAACGACGAAATTAGACCGGGAGATATCATTTCTCTCCGCAATGCCAAGTTTCAAGGCAAACATGGGCCTATGCACGCCAAATACACTATGGAGGTGGGCAAGCCGGACCACGTGGCGATCGTCGCAGAGTGGGACGGTACCAAAAAGAAGGTTCGGGCATGGGAACAGGGTCGCGAAAGCAAAAAAGTAAAGCAGGAGAGTTTCAAGTTGGAAGATCTTAGGAGTGGCGAAGTGAAGATCTGGCGGGTGATGCCGCGTAGCTGGGTCGGGTGGAGTTCAGACTAGCGGTCTCGAGGACCGTCCTACGAATACCTGTGGCCGATACTCATGAGGGTCGGTACAGATGGGAGGGTCAGTGTGGATAGCCCTATGCGGATGCTGTTCTAATTTCTCTCCACTTCCCCTTACTCCCTATTAGTTAGTACGGCGGAAAGATGACGTCGGCGGCAAAAGGGGTAGAGGAAGTAATAGAATCTACGGTACGAAGCACGAAGTGGAGTGATGTGCAGATATCATGGAAAGAGAACAGAAGCGAAGATGAGAGGTGTGATGATGATGTTATTGATGAGGACTAGGACAGGAGTGAAATGGAAAGCAACGAAGAAGCAAAAGCAGAAGCATTCGTTAAGGTATCCCCGGTCGAGTCGCTCGTGTCATAGTCACAAGTCACGATCGTAATCAGTCATAGTCATGGTCATGGTCATAGTCATAGTCACAGCTAAAGCTATGGGTGATGATGATGATGATGATAATGACGGAGATGTTCTTCTACCACTATTGAGAGCAGCGTTGTTATTACTACCTACTTACTACTTCGCTCATGTATGTACGGTAGCTATTGCGGAATTTGCGTCTTTTTTTGTTCGACCAGACTTGCTTGTATGGTTTTTTTTGGGTACTGTCTTATGCGACTCGAGACTATATCGTGATGCTCTACTGGTAAGCTATGTTCTCATATTGCATGCGACGTCCTGCGATCAGGGGGAGCGTGGGCGTATGATATACGTAGAGGTGCACCTTTTACGTCGTATCGGCCTCGGATATCAGCGCAAGATTTGCGTTGCTATAAATAACCTCACTTCTTATAGGAGTAGTATAGTATAGTGTATCCAATATTTTGTTGTTGTTTTTTTTTTCTTTTTCGCTTTCTCCCTTGCCCTACTTCGTTCTGCTTGTCGACTCGGTGCACTCCGCCTTACTTACGTATAGCAGCACACTACTATTCACTTGGGTGGGATAGGAGAAGATGAGTAAGATGGGTGAAAATTGTCTATAGCCTGGTGGTTACGTACCTCCTAAGGTAACTTGGGCTGTATTTTGGTTTCAGTGCCATGTATCACAGCTTCACTAGCACAATACATAATACACATACACCTGTGTTTGAGTAACTAGTAACTACATGTAGCTATATGCCGGTAAACTATATCTTAGGAAAATTAAGAAATACCACCATCAATCGTGATTATACATGGTCTTCATGCATCAACTCAAGTCCCCGACTCTTCGACTAAACCTTCCCCGTACGGAATCGTCTGCGTGTACATAGTTATTGTCATTCCGTCACGCAAGCTTTCATAATAGATAATAGACAGACTAGATAGTTACCTAAATACCAAATACCAAATACCAGATACCAGATACCAGATACCAAAAGAGTAGCGAGATATATCGTGTCGACAATAAAAATGGCATCTTACACAATACGTCATCATCTTTAATCCTCCTCGAATTAAGACCGGGATGTATGGATATGTCCATGTGCGTGCCGGGTTTATTCTCGTTGTACGACAACCGGTGAGAGAAAATGGAGGAAAGGTGGAAAAGGTGGACGTCATTTAGACGATGCAGTCCTACATAATAATTGAGTAAGCCAAGCCAGCCCCATAATGATAATAATATACACCACGATATCTATCACGATATCTATAATATCTAACTATACAATTAGATCTGAAACTATGTCATAGATCTTATACGTCCATCTATACTTCTTTCTATAATCTCACTCTACCGTCTTCTTCTTCACCTTGGCCCCCGCCCCTCCGCCGGCCCACGATCTTCGGAAGAATGTGGCTCGGAGAACGCGACGCGGACACCCGAGACATTTTTACTTGACCGCTGAATTATTTCTTTCACGTATGCTGATTTGCAACGTTGGCACGTGATACACATGCAAGAGCTGTCCAGGAGCTGTCCAAGAGCTGTCCAAGAGCTCCCCGACTCTCCAAGCTGTATGTTTCGCGTGCCTTGCTCTGTTTCAACCCGGTTTAGGCTTTGTAGTAGTAGCGTTCTGCAGTGACGAGCCCATTTGGAAAGACAGCTGATCATGTGTTCGTGTGCCTTGGCCGAGTAACATGACATTTCCTAGCATTATCCTTCTCCTGGGGCCACTCGCGTACTACCTTAGTTCCGAACCTATGTACAACGACCTCTTTTTGAGGCTTAGAATATTGACCCGGCTTTAGCCCCTGAAAATCCAAACCTAGGCTGCTCGTGATTGAGACCGCTTCAGGGGGAATGCTACCAAGTATTAGACGAAGGGATTGTTACAGAATACTCTAATCCGTCTGTCGGCGGCGTGTATAGCAAATAGCATCCACGAATATAGGTTACGACCAATAACTCCCAGGGCCGTTATGTTATTGTGCCCAATGTCTCTGAAATACGACGTGCGTCTTAGACATGGGAAGACCGACAAAGGGATGATGAGTCGAGAATAAGCAAATTCTTATCTTTACCATGCTGTTTGCTGCGCCAACCCTGCTATCACATATGTTAGCCTAACTCGATATAGATGAACGATACACTCAACCGGATCACTAGGAATGCGTGGAATAGGAGAACTGGATGGAGAAAATAGCCCGGCAATTGGCGTTGAGAAACTCACTGTGACAGGCTATCGACCACGAGTTGTGGCAAGCCAATGGCCAGTAGAATCAAGCGCGCAAATCTCGTTCAAGCACGGACGGGGTGGATCGCGAGACGACGACTCGGACCTTAATCGACAATGTAGAGTTAGTTGGTCGCTGGATTTACCGAGCGTGTCCGATAGGACAAATCTTGCATCACAGGGTCACAGTCTTATAACGGGGTATGTTGATGGTCCAATGTCCTTTCACTCGCGCTCCCCACGTTCATATATATTAGCATATCGGAGAAAAGCAACGCATGCGTTGGTCGGGGCCACCGCAAGGGATCGATACGTTAAGTGCTTATCTCCAAAGCCGTCAATTGGGGCTGTGGCCGTTGCCAGCTCGTGGGAACTCGAATTGATGGGATTTAAGACCCTGGATCTTCTTCATATCTGAATCGACCCTTTGCCCGACCCAATGGTCCGACGAGCAGGACGTGGAGACATGGAGAATATAATTCATATTTTTATGCGAATTGGTATGTAGCTCTATTTTTTTTCTTTCTGAGTCCGTGGTCTAGGTTCGCATCCCGGGCAATTCGGGGATGGCATCTATGCGAAGCAGTGCTCTAAGATTGCCGCTGCACGCGCCTCGACATAGCCTATGCATTCCAAACGGCGATGTTGTAAAGACCCCTACTTCGTTGTAATGAATAACAACGAAATACGTTACTGGGGACGGGTAGTTACTACCTCAACTAGGTTTTTAGGAAATACGACCATATATACTCAACATGAATAGGGTCCAAAATCACTTATGTAAATACGAGTGCTACCGACGGCACAGGTAAACATTAATTAATCGTAGAGAGACCATGAGCTTGTACTCTATAGATCATATAGACCATCTTGATAGTGATAGTCTCCAGCAACAGTGGCTCAGTAAACCTATACTAGGTAAAGCCACGATTGTTTATAGAGCAAGCCGATTGCGCCAAAGGGGAACACCATCTCGTCGAATAAGGGTATCCAGCGATCTGGGTGCCGACTTCGGCAACCTGCATGTATGTGGGGTATAAGACAGGGCAAGCAGCCGCGTTGGAAACCAGGGGGAGCTGATCTACGACGGTAATCAGTGAGGAGCCCGCGATCGAGAGGTCAGTATCGTGAAGATCGCCGACAGTAAGACTGAGCCGCGAAGCTCATGGACTGTCGATGCACTGCAACGACCTCCTTTCCAAAATAAGGGCTTTTGGTAAAGATGCCTTCCGCTAGCCGGGGATGCGGTGCTCTAAGGCATCAATGTCTCGCGAGCGGCTTGTAAAAACTGAGATCCGAAGGATCCAACCTGCTTCTGCCATCGTGGCATAGTCCAGCATCGCCGTTGATGACACGAATGCCCCCCCTGGCCCATTATCATCTGGACGTGGAAAAGAGTAACCGAGAAATCTGCTTCCCATTCTCGGAAACGCAAGGTGCCTAGGGGATATGCAAAGTGACCTAACTAGAGGGGATCTCTTACTCTGCATTTCTCGGCAACGTTTTGCGTGGAGGAAAAGAACGACACGCAATAACCAATCATGAAGACCGTCCCAACAATGCTCACGACTAGTATCTAGAATATCTAGCGTATCTAGCGTATCTAGCGTAGAGAAAGGTCCAAGTTGCTAGAAGCACGTGCGTGAGCCTCCCTGTGCGCATGGTCTCGCATCTGACGCTGAGGTCGGGTCCAAATATGCCAGCGAATAAGCGGTTGACACACAATAGACCCGTATTTGACCACCTGCAGAGGGGCCAGGGAAAGTACAGGAACAGCTGCACTAGCTATTGCTAGACCAGGAAGTGCATCGAGCTTTCGTGGAGCAGCCGATAATAGCTCACCAGCTGTCGCACAAATACAAGCGCGCTGGAAGACGCAGATTGATGGCGACAGATGTTTCGTATGATTGACGCCCATGTGAACTGGGCACTTTCGCTAGTGCAGCGTTGTACAACTTGTGCAGAGATAGTGCAAAGATATTTCCTTGCTTGAACAGACAAGCAAAAATCTCGATTGAATTGTCGAACCACGGGGCATTAAAAAATTGGCAACTTCAGACCCCCTCCGAAGCATCGCGGCCTAGGTAATGGCATACATACCCAAGATGGCAATCTATTGAGCTGTCTTGTGGTAAAGCCTTGGCCCAATAATTACCCTCAGATGCAAGTCAAGAAATACTTGAATCCAATACCATGCCTATTCGAAACATGCTGTTGAAGATTGGCCTGGCGTAATGGGCGTAATGGGGGTGCGATGGCACTTTGGGTAGTGCCTCTATTTCTCTCGCAGCATCTAGAACCTAGGCGTGGCAGTCAGAAAATTCAAATTAGAAACATATTGAGTCTGAACGAACGCTGTCGACAACGCAGAGGAGTGTTCCAATCAAGAGATGCAGGTCCCCAGACGGGCTTAGTAGCATAGTATAATTGCCTCGGTACAAATAATGATAATAATAAGAATAATAATAAGACGAGGCGTTCTGGTTGGGCACAAGCGCACCCCAGATCCAAACGATGTGAGCCTCGCATCTATTTGTCCCTTGCCGGAACGGATGGTGGAAGGAATGACGACGGTTGTGCACAATGTTAGTGATAGACGGGTAGGCAGTGCAGGACCGTAGCTATTCCGAAGTGGAAGACGATTGCTATAGGATAGACGGCCTTCACTGAAACGTCATAACGGAGTACGACGCAGATGTGTCTACTCTCCGTTTTAATATATTCCAATAATTTGCTGCGATCCGCTGACATGCCGAGTTGTCAGACATGCTTTGCTGCGTCGACTTCGTGGCTTTTACAGATGGGAGATTTCGAAATTCGCATTAGTCAAGCATCACTACGGAACCCATGGTCGTTATTGGGACCAATGGATCCGTGGACGAGAGTATTGCAGACATGTCTCTTGAATTGCTTTATTCCGACCATCCTCCAACGAGGTCTTATGCTGACCGAGGGTAGGATGGTGAACTCAATTAGTTTCCGAAAAGCATACTAGGAGAGAAACAAAGGGGGAAAACATAGTGAGCATATTGTACAACGAGATTATGTTGATGTTGCCGTTGCCAAAGAATAAGTTACAATGCGCGAATTACCAAGTATACCGACGGCCAATTGGCTAAGAATTGGAAAGACAATTATTAACTTTATGATGTACAAGTATAAATAAATATCTCTCATGTTTTTTTTTTTTTTTTTTTTTTTTTTTACGTCTAGTTAGTTCCATTATTCTTCGGAGAGAATTGAGCTACTAAGTTCCAGCTGGTAGGAACCCCCAGACGCTCGGGTTAGATACATGCCTTTGCGTAATACTATACCGTACCTACCCGACTAGGAAAAACGGTGTACTATAAAACCCCCACCATAAGGTTTTTTAAGTACATGTATTCAGAAGGTTAGGTACATATGTAGCCTACATACTAACTATCCGGCAAGCGCTTACCTTCTTGCCTCGAGGGTTTAGAGGTAGTTACCTGTAATGATACGTGATTAAGGTTCCAACACAGTGACACTCTGTCGCATACACCGTATATGTAATCCGTAAGCTGAGTTGTGCCCTTTTTTTCTTCCCTTTTCCCGCGCGACACCTATAGACCAACAACTTCCAATTCGCGATAACTATTGACCTCGTGACAGTCTCACCGGCATTGTAGCTCAATTCTAGGTGTTATACCTTGAAAAGCGCTGAAGCTAATGCGATAGCTTCACTTTTTCTTTTTTCTTTTTTCTTTTTTACCGCCTAGAGGCTTGTAAGCGTAGTACGATGGTGGTGCGATGAAAGCTCGCCACTCACTACATATTCGGGCTATACCTGAGGGAAAAAGCTGTGCGACGGAATGATGGAATGGAATACTGGATTGGAAGACTCGATCACTATGTGCGACGCCGAAGAAAGCGCTGCGCTCTACTTCCTCCAATATAGTAGGTACATGCCGGATATGCGTAACTGTCGCTGTACCGAATGCTACCTTCAAGTCCTGTTTTGAGCTTGACCTTAGGGTCCTTGGGGTCTTCAGGTCTTGGGACCTTCAACCTATGGACCTAGGGAAAAATAAAAAAAATAAAAACCCCCACTCGAAGATTCTTGGATGGTCTGGTACTTCGGCCTACTATGGTAGGCTCTCGCCCGTCTCTGTCCAACCAACGGCGATCCCCTCTCTTACGAGACTCCTGTCAGGTAGACAAGTAGCCAAGTATATGCAGCTAGCATCATGACAATTACCTAAGTAGGTATCAGTGATGCTGAGCAGGGTTAGTAGCACCGTATTCTTGTCTCCTGTCTTGTCACTCCTACCCTTCCCTCCGCCTGCGGGCGTTTGTCTTTCGTCAGCTCAGCTCCAACCAATGTCGTCAAAGTTAAGCCTCCCCGTCGTTCCACCGGGACCTTATATCACTCTCGTTGTGCCATGTTGTTCCACTCGGCTCCCCTCGTTTATAACGGATCTCATTCAGCGTTGGACTCTTGCATAAACTCCCGTTCCATTTTCAGTCCACTTTCACGACCAAACATTGCCATTTCGCCTTACATATTCCATCATAGGGCCCATTCGCTTCTCGCGTTGACCAGCTATTCATCCTACCGGGTCTCGCGTCCACTACCCGGTTCGGGCGGATGTCGAGCAGTTCTCAAACAAACCCTTGCGTCTATAAAGATCACCATCTATACATATATCAGGCCTCAGTGGGGCTTCTTCGAACTACCACTACTTGAATCCCAAGTGTCCCACTTCCGACTACGCATCCAAAGACCCTGAGATCACCAGGCCGCATATCCTCCTCGCAGATATAGATAAAAGGATCCTCTGTTTACCTTTTATCCCCGTTCTTCATACTACTCCTACTAACCCCTACACTCTATTCTCTCTTCAACCGCACATATGACTTCGTATCCTCCTCTCATCATGGCACGAAGGCGAGATACAGACTTCTCTAGTCATTCCGCTAGCACTCGGGATACCAGGCAAAGCAGCGACTCATATGACTCAAGAAGTACTGCCCCTACTTCTCTCTATGACAGCCCCGCATCAACTAAGGACTCGAGTTCTCAAGCTCGTAAATTCCAACCAGAATGCTACTACGAGGAGGATCTTTCGCCGGCTACGAGCTTATACCCGCGGTCGTCGGTTGACACATACTCGTCGCAAGCTTCAAGTGCTGAATTTTCGGACGATACGGATACGGATGATTGCCCCGAGTTTTCGGATATACCTGACTTGCCCCCCTACCGACACGATATCGAGGAGTTCAATGTTAGAGCTTCAACCCCCGAGGAATTCGCCAGTGTATTTCCGTCCCTGAATCGATTAACTATTCGTCACGATGATTTTACGTCGGATGGGAACATGAACCTAAGGGTGGACACCACCGTTCCGGGTAGACGAAAGAAGACGCTCCAACTGTTTCACCTGCGCATGTACGATCTGAACAAGCGAGAGTTTTCTCTGAGACGGTATAGCCGAGATTCTGGCCGCGAAGTGTGCAATTCAAAACGAAAATACGTCGAGCCGCCCTGCACCACGCGCCCTAAATTGCAGCGATCGATGTCAACCGCGATGAAGTCCTTAGCCAAGCGACCGCAACTCATCCGCATTCCTACTGGAGGCTCCGTCTTCTCATCGAGGAGCCGACCAGGCACGAGCCACTCTGGCGCCTCGACCGATGACGACTTTACCGAAGCTGCCACCAGTCCTATTCCTATCGACAAGAAGCAGAAGGCCCGCCCAACACCCACGAATACGATCAAACTCGAGTTCTCTAATTATGCACGTGTTGACGTAGTAAGGCGCGGAAAGAAGAATGCGAAGAAGTACGAGTTCGAATGGTGGGGCCACACGTACTCTTGGAAGAGAGTAGTAGACAGGCTCACGGGTTGCGTCTCCTATCATCTATTACGAGATGGTCACAACCACTCGCCCGTAGCGCATATCGTTCCCGAAACCCGATCACCGATCCAGGTTGCCGCTGATGAGGCTGCTGGTGGCTGGGTGCCGCCTTGTCACATGTGGATCAGTGACGACAGTTTAGTCGACGCTATGACCGACGTTGCTGAGTAAGTCTATGAAATCAGCCTCCTTTCCCCCTTGAACAGATACTAATGATATTATTAGCATCGTCGTTGCAACCGGCATCATGGCGCTTGTCGATGACTGCATCGTGGAGCGTTGGCAAACAAAGAAGAGCCCTCGCACCGTATTCCCGCTCTTATCTAGATCTCTAGATGTCAGCCCCAAGTTTCTTGTACAACAAATGTTTACCCGTAGGAATTCGGATCATCATCCGAGTCCATTACGCTTTCAGAAGGCCGTACCGGCTTACTGAAGGCCGACCGACGACAGAAGATCCCGATCACTTAGACGGGTTTAAACTATATTTGAGCACGCGGGGCCAGGCCGCCACAGTTTTGTTTGTTTTGTTCTCCATTGACGCATCATCTTGACGACCACAGCACCTCGGACGGGCGGCGTCCCGTTGAGGGCATATACCTTCGCTTCTTCTAATCCGACGCTTTCTTCTTATTATTTTTGAAAAGGGAAAATAAAAAGGCACTCCTCAAGCTCGAAAATGTCGAGCTAACGACCGATGACGACGATTTGGCGACGCAGCGTCTCATTCTATGTTACCACCAAAAGTTTTGCTTCATCTACTGTCTTATTTCATATTCTTTGGAGTTTTTTTTTTTTATCTTTATAATACCTCTTCTCCGTTTCGGCCAACATTATTAGACTGAACGTCGATGGAGAAATCACCTCACCTCCAGCATCACTTACGGCGTGTTATATATATATATATATTGGATCTAGGGTATGCATCGCATTGGGCGGCAACGGCGAAGGCGAAGGCGAAGGCGAAGGCGAAGGCGACGGCGACGGCGCACGCATGCATACTCACCTAGATATACTGCTTTACACGGTATCGGCGCTGTACATATCATATCCTTTTGCTTTGTCTGTTCTTCTCGGGCCATGAGCATTGGGGGTATAGGTGCATCGGCCGGCGGCGTATGAGTGTCTGGTTTTTACAAGTCTGTTACACTATTGAATTTTTCCCTTTTCTTCTTTTTTTTTACGCTACTATTACCATCATATATCATCATCGTCCTTGCGAGGAACAGCACGCATGTCGCCAGCATTGTTTTTCATTTGTTGCTTTTACTTGTATCAACGAACTATATACCTTAGGTGCCCTATTAGGGACCCGGCTATGGGCGGAATCAGTTTAGCTCTATGATGCCGTGAATTTGTCAAATATACCTCATATTTTGATATATTCTACTGCCTGCTTACATCGTCGACGTGAAAATAATTGACTTGGATTGCGAAGAATGATGATTTTCGTCTCGTAGCTAGAGAATACGCAACTCATATTTGGAAGTGCATAGTCCATATATGGCTACACGCCCCTTAACTACCCTCAGGTAAGTATTCCAAATTGACGGTTCAACGAGGGAGTCTATTTGAGGTGCCGTTATAATATACCAACTACCAGTTTTCCTGACCAGACACATGGACTAACGAAATAGCTTAACTTATAATCGAGCGCCTCCCTCCCTTTAAAACTCATCATCACCGACCCCCTCATCTCCCCTCGGTATGCCAGCATCGAACCACCCGCCGAAATCTAACTTCATAAGCAGTCTATCGATCCCGCCCGTCCGCCTGGGTCTATACCCAATCCCCTCTTCATCGAATACTTCATTGCCAACATCATTATCTTCCTCGCCGTCTAACCCCCCGTCCTCAAGCTCAGCCATAAATGCGGAATCAGTACTCAGCGCTCTAAGGGCGGCGACGACAGCGCGCACGCCATCCTTAACGCCAGCCTCAACTTCGCGGATACGCATACGTACGTCGGCTTCCTCGGCAACTAGGTCCGCGAATGCGTCCACGACGCCTTCGTCCGCTTCGAGGTCTGCTGCCGCCCAGACCCCGTGAAGGCGGTGTACGAGGGCGACGAGGTGGTCGGTGTTCACTAGAAGTTCGTATAGGGGATTTGTGAAGGATGATTGTGTTAGGAGGAGGCGGCGGATAAGGGTCCGAAGGTATAGTCGGTGGGCTATGGCGAGGGTTTGAGGATCGTGATGTGGGGGGCTTGCGCTTTGTGGTGTCCGATCCGGTTCTGGAGGATTGTCTGTATTATGAGGGCTATCTTGGCTATGAGAATCATTGCTGTTGCTGATACACGTATCACCGGACGAATTTGGGTTGTCGTGTTGTTCATGGCTTTTCTTGCCTATTATCCAACCATGGAAGTCTTCCCAAAGGCCTTCTACGACCTCAACTTGGAGATATGCCTCAGTTTCAGCCAGGAAGAAGATGGCGGCACTGCTCGTACTCCACGCGCTCCGCATTATAGACGAGCGTATAGAGGAACGCTCTCGAAGAACGCGTGTCCTTGAAGCGCCACTTCTAGTAGTACTATATGGAGGTCTAGGAGGTGCTGGATGGTGGCGGCGCAGGGCTGTTATTTTCCACAGACCCGTCAGATGGAGGTGGGAGCGGCGGATCGATAGCAGGTAAGAATTAATTGAAGTGTAGATCTGGACGTCAGATGCAGTCAAAAATAAGTCCAGGGGTGGTGGGATCTGCGATGTGAGGACCACGGGGACAGAGAAAAGAAGATTTCGGAACGGAGTGTCTGCAATACTAGTCGGTGCTTGATGGTCCATACCAGTCTTGCCCTTCACAGGGGTTAAAGCTTTGGTCTTGGATAGATTCAGCCGTAGTACATCTCGCGCCTTCTCTAGACCTTCATCTTCGTCTGCATGCTGACCTTGCATTGAGCCTAGCACAGTCCACGTCTTCGTGAGAACTGCTGCGACTTCACCTTCTTTTACCATCACATTGCCAAGCCCAACCCGCTTCTCGTAAGCGAGGTTATCGGCACGCCGCCAGCGGTTGTGAATTACCTCATCGGCTTGTTGTGTAAGGGCCATAGCAAATTCGCCACGTCCAAGCAAAAAGAAATCACGGAATAAAACCAACATCTCAAGTACCCTGGATAATGGCAATAGCTTCTGTAGGATTGTCCGAGACAATGTGAGCCGGATCGATGTAATGGCTCTCGAAAACGCAGCGCTGTTGAGGGGAGATTTTAAGTCCGCGATGGTCTGAAGCTGGGATGAGAGGTGGCCAAGTCCATTGCTGCTTGGCTCTATACTGCTCCTGGTTTTCACCCGATTCAGGGATGTTCCGATAAACAGCATGGATGTGGCTGCAGATGCTGTAACAAATGATGGCAATAACCACTGGTTAATCGAATATCCCTAGTTCCATTAGCAACGATAACTTTCAGAGTCGGCGGGAATGAAATTTCTCACCAGTTCGTCACGTTCATTCTTCTGGATGAAGAAGTCTGCATCCCCCAATATAGGTATGGTACCGTAGAGAACCCAAGCAGAAACTTGCTTCAGCCAAGCAGTTTCAGCAACTCTGACGAGGCTAAGCGCAGTCTCCCCAATGTCAGCGTAGCCAGTTTGAAGCTCATCGCGTAATTTGTTAATAAGCTGCGCTGCTCGACAAGGAGAGCCCTCGTTTTCCTTGAGCATGAATTGGACCAAATTCCATAGCCATTCCATTCGACGAGTCCATTCCGAAAACTCGCCAATGACGGCGGTCAGGGGGACGATATTATAAGCACCAACGAGGGAAGCATCTTTTCGAAGGATGCTTTCTTCAACTTCCAGCACTTTCCTCTGAAATGCGGCGAGATAGAGAGAATTTATAGCAGTCGATACTGCGCGGCATATGATAGAAGGGTGGGAGGCGCTGACCTGAGCAGTATAAGAAATAAGTTTGCAATGAAGATCACTTAGATGACCGGCGGTCCTCAACAGTTCTCTCTCTGGTGGTGATAGGATGGATTGTGCTCTGGGCTCGGTATAGTCATTCCTGAGAAGGGGCGAGGGGTGCCCCGATAGGGAGAGCAGGATCTCATGGAGCATTGTGGAGCTGGCGAGCTGTAACGGTGTTAGAAAGGTGCTTTAGAGACTTGCGAATTCATTCGACCGTAGGAGCTTAACCCTTGTAAGACATGTGGAGGTTTCTTAGACCGGATCTTATCACCGATATCCTGAATTAGGAGAATAATGGAACCGAGGCATTCGTAGCGGCACATCTGAACGGGTAAACACTCCGACAGTACTGCGTGTTGTAGACATGAAGTGGTGATCCGGATGAAGGTAATTGTCGATAAAGAGCAAAGTCATTCTTTACCTTTTAATTAAATTAAAATAAAGAGGTTTTATTTTTGTTAACCAAAGCAACTTGGAATTTCAGACATCTTCATATTTGCATAAAAGCAATGTTGATAGAATAGGTCCTGCGAAAAAGACTTTCCTTGTAAATGGGACGTTGATGGGATGTCAATGGGGCGTACCTACATTGAGCCAAGCTGCACCTTGTTTATGAAGCACTTGCTTGTATCCTTTCTTGACTTCTTCGTCGCGACTGCTTTCAAATCTAAGCGCGTCAAGCGTAGCAGTGCACGTGACTTTATAGCCATGTACCTGTAATAATTCTACGTTACATCGTCACATCGATACAGTATTAAGTCCCTACTTTCCTATGTAGGTACATAACCTTATGCGATTAAATTGCATTACCTTAGTAACTATTACATTATGTAGTTACTCATGTTTGCTACCTATTTTTGGTTGTTATCTCAATAGATAGGTTAGGTACATATCTTATTATACACTAGTTGTACGGATCCGTAAACTTGGGCGACTTCCAAATTTCTATAGTAACTAGGTAGGTACCTAATAATGTTGCTAACGTTTCGGTGCCTTATTGTTTGACGCGCTACTAGTGCTTGCTGAATCTGGAACCAAATACGCCTTGGAACTGTCAGACCTCTTTACCGGCATTGCACTACTAGTATCATCCCCTACAATGATTTCACCTCCCCCCTTCACTTTCCCAACCACCATACCCTTTCCTACTGCTTTTATAACGGCCTTTCGAGAGACTCCTGTAACGTCGATATAAACTAGACCGACATTCTTGACACTCCCGCTTAGGTGCTTGGATAGCTCTCCAGCTTCGGCTCCCCATTTGTGGGCCACCATATTTGTCGCCGACGACGATGCCGAAGTTAAGAGATTGCGTGTTGCATGGTCAATTCCATCCGCCACAGTCGTAAAAGCCATTAGACTCTTGTTCAATAGACCAGGCTTGAATGACTCAATTGGTTTCCCATCCCGATCGAACCCCCTTTTTCCTTCTTTAACACCGCGCCCAGCGACCGTAGCCCCCACATTCTGGGCCAACCTGGTAACTTGGCCAACCGTTTTGGATGACAGCTCGGCTACACCTCCCGAGAACGTGCCTATCCGGCGGACTCGTTCATGTGTTGCAGGCGTAAACGTCACAGCTTTACTAGTGGGTTTCGTGTTCTTAACAAAGCTATCCGAGCCGCTCTGCATAGCATTGGTGACGAAATCTGAGGTGGTTATGATTAATCGAGATGCGTACGCTGCTTTCGATACGATAAACGACTTTTTGTAGGCTGGATGCAGTTCCATTTCCAAGGTTTCCGGCGACGCGGGGACTACAGCAAGTTTGTTTGTTCCTTCTTCCGGAAGAGTAATCTCGACAGGATCTGTTATTGTGTTAATTGTTGCTAAGCGAAGCCCCAGGGTCCCAGGGAAAAGCGAAGCATCCATACCTTTAGAGCCTGGTTTTACGCCAGACTCGATGATCTGGAACCCATCCGATAGTTCTCCTATGACACTACCATCTTCTTCATCGATAAGCACGATCTGGCCGCCTGGCTGAGCACTTTGACTGCCCTTTACGTAGCCCTCGCCAGGTTTGTATGAACCTGGATTATATGCTGGAAGCTGCTCCGAAGACTCTGCCTTGGACTTGGACGTTTTTGGCGATGATTTAGTAGAAGTCGGCGGCGTTGACGATGAGGACTTCTCTTTCTCCTTTTCTCTTCTTGCAGCCTTTGGCGGCGGCGCTCTTTCGAGAAACGCAGTACATTGCGCCAGGATTGTTTCGAATGTGTCTATATCCTCTTGAAGTCCCTTACGACTGCCGACTGGAGGGAATTCGATGCGCGTGAATGCACCGCTATCGGGACCGAGATCCCATCTTGGGATGAGGTAGCTTCTCGGCGGTTGGTGGTAGATCTGAGTAGTTGCGGGTAGCGGAAGGTCTAATTCGGGTGGTAGATGAAGATGAAGGTAGAAATCCTCAGCAGCCGGTCCATTCTGGTCGTCTGGTGAAATAGGTTCAGCGAAAGAAGACGATGTCGGAACCATTAACAGTGACAATGTCTGCGGCCCAGCAGGTGTAAGGGACTCTTCCTTCCCATAGGCGAGGTGGTAGGCTGCGACGCCTTGAATAGCGTATAATAGCCTGGGATCCTGTTGGGGGCGCGATGTCAGTACTGCAGTGCTACAGTATGCATAATGACAGCATCATAGAGTGTACCAACTTACATTGTGTCCAGATGCCATATTATCTCGAGGCACAACGATATAGCGACCTGGAATTGATTCCTGAGAAATCGTCACTTGGTAGCGAATGGCTTACTGCACGAAAGACTGTCGTGTATTCCAATTTCCAATAGTAACAAGATATGACAAGATCTAGATGCGGTAGGTTTGGCGGCTATCAGATGGGAAGATTGTGATGGGGTTATGGAATTACGTTATCTAGCGCAGCCAACAGGAATAAAGAATATGAATAAACAAGATTGAAATGTCGTTGGCTCTGGTATATTTCGTGCACAATCGCTAAAGTCAGATAGGCAAGGTGAATGAAAGAGCTTCGAGCGCTTAAAGACAAGCGCTCGTGTGGTTACAAGGCTGGGACGTAATGCGTACGAGAGGCCTCGCAGCGACGTCATTGGATGGTTTCAGTGTGATCGTCACTGTGGCTCCCTGCCAATACCCTCTAAAAAGAAGTGCATATGGACATACAACATCATTGATGTATTGATGTGCTACATGTTTTTATGTACATGTTACATGTACCCAGGTATCATGTCTCTCTGAAGGTGTTTCTATCCCTTCTTATCTGGGCTGTTTCGCATGACCTTGGCACACAAGCATATGAGATAACTTAGGTAGGTCAGAAGTTACATGTACCTACTTCACATGGACCTAAAAGATGAGGGGCAACTTTTAGTCAGATAAGTGTAGGTAGGTACCTTATGTAATGTACGGCAAGTCCTAAAATACATCCTATCTTGGTGGGGGCTGAGGGGTAGAGAGGAAAGAGGGCGAAACTCACCTAAAGGCTACATGTAGTAAGGGCTAGTCAGTCCTGCCTGTCCTATGAGGTGTACATACTCCGTTCCTTCCCCCTCACCTCCCTAACATCTGCGGCGGGTTAGCGGGGGCGTCAGTAACACTTCTCCAACAGAAGAAGATGAAAAAAGAAAAGAAAAAAACCTCGTCCTACATCCACTCAGAGACTCGGAGTGTGGGTTGTTGGTGACCGGTGCAGTTGAACCCCTGACAGTTCTTTTCTTATTTGACCACCTATTACAAAATACATGGCCAAGAGCCTCATGACAAGTCAGTAGCAATAGAGCTTCTGCTATTGCTGCTGTTGCTGCTGTTGCTGCTGACGACGACGACGCAGCAGCTCTTTACTTATGCGCTACGTAGACGAGGGAGCCAACAATTCAATCAGATATATTCGAGATAGCCATGACAACATGTATTGGCTGCTTCTAGGTCTGAGATGGGAGATCCTCAAAGATCTGTCTCAAGGAAACCGGAAAGGATTCTGTCTTCAGCAAAATCGATCCCGTGCGGTAAACGTGCATATATGCAGCGGAGACTATGAAACCGGTCAAAATTGCTAAAAACATGTTGAATAAATATATCTGCACTGGTCGGCAACTTAAGGCCCTATACGGCAACTAGAAGAAATAGAACGGGTTATTGGTTCATTCGTCATATTCGACTTTTGAACAGCCCAAAAACGTCAGCTCCAGAAAAATTCAGCGCCAACACTTCTTATCCGAGACTATTTTACGTTAGTTCATTCTTCGAGTTAATAATAGAGATGACCTTCTGCCGCCAGAAATCAGGGCCCCCTCCCCCCCTTCACCCACGAGTCTCGAATGCAAGCGCTGGTGGTTGGACCGGGATTCAAGTGTGTGTCCCGAGGAACGTTACAGCCTACCGCCATTGACGACTTGCGAGTCGTAAAAAGATGACCGGTATTCCACATTCCACATTCCACACCAACACATCATCAAGGATTTATGAAAGATGACTGTTGGGACGTTCCTAAATACCTAACTATTCCGCCAATACCTAGGACGATATCTAGGACTACAGTTATTCGGCCTAACCTAACGTACCTAGGCACATTTGTTGAATGCAGCCTTCACAGTGCCTCGTTGCTTTGGTAGGGGAGTTTATCCGTATGCTAGGTATGTACCTAATGTATAACACCCCTTGTCAATATGTATTAAGAGTAAGGAGACAGGCTACCTACATAGGGTGACGGATGGGTAACATCTGAGCACATCGGCCCGTGGACGTGTCAGAAAACGTTAATACGACCTACCACACCGAGTCTTCCTTCGAACGGGTACCAACGAGTACGAGAAAGGTTGACGATTCAAGGACTTGCTTTTTCCTCCTTCTACTCCGTACAATACACATATATATACACACTGTTTTATCTTTAAATTATAGTCTGCAGCATCATATGTTGTCGCAAATGGCATATCTTCTCATGCTGTGCATCATCAGCTCTCATCTTGTAGCATCGGAACCACCTTGATCAAATCATCGGCCCTGATATCTGCGTTCGTTCCTTATTCCTAGGGAAAAAGGAAGCCCTCCCCGGGCGACGTGCATATGAGCCTTGTCAGGGACCCGCAACCGCGGCCTGTGCGCCAGATGGGCGCTTTCGATCAGGTCTAAGCTGCTCGTTCATTGGATATCCAAGGTAAAGCCGATCATCGTCCGCCCTCCAACAACTACTTAGTTTGGGTAGATTGGTCTCTACCCGACCCGTCCGTGTCCGGGGAACTTTTAACCCTTGGAGCCTTCTGGGCTTACTTTACCCGACAAGGACGAGCTATTTCCCTTTCTCCAGTGCCCACTCCGACGTAGACACTGTAAACTCATCCCATCTATCTTCGTCTGTCTGTCAGTATCAGATTGATACTCTCAAAGCTTAACCTAGGGGTTTGTTTTTTTCGTCTATCATATTCTGATATTCTGATATTCCTCATATCCCCATTATTCTTCGTACTACTACAGGTCACTTATTAGGCCCTTTCCATTTCATATAAACATTTCATGTTATCAATGTGTATTCCCGATATTATAGCCAGATTACCCCCTTGTCCATAGCTGTACGGCTCCCGTATAAGTGTTTACATTTTTAAGTGTGCTTATGCCCGAAAGACGACAAGGCTCTATACTAGATAACGTTAGGAACTCCCAGCTACGACCGCGCTCCTACAACTAGGTGAACTAGGTGTAGTTTACGAGTCGCGCCCCATTTGCGGACAGTCGCAGCTCGATGCTGTAGCACATTACCAGGAATCGCATCTGACCATTCAATTCGATTAAAAGACGATCTAGAAAGGGGTCTCCGGAACACAACACATAGCTTTCCCGTTACTCAAATATCAATCATCTTAGGAATACGAGCACGGTCGTCTCCGCACAAACTTGTCTTTTGAAGTATCGTGTCCGACCCCGCGGTGTCGTTCGCTCCGCGAGTTATCTCGAAAAGACCTACTAGGCCGTTTGCAGTCCATCTGAGTCTTCCGGGTCTGCCTTGGACCCAGCCGTCACCATTTCCACTCCAATTCGTATCCAGTCGATACTCTCCTCTCCCGATCGGTTAGGCGCCGATGAGAATCCGAATATAGGTCAGTATCAAGCTGCTCCGCAAAGGCAGTTTGACGAAGCGGTCCCTTCCGCAGATACTACACTTAAGCACCAAACCCCACCAGTGCCACCCGGTCAACAGCTTTCCAATACCGATACATCACGGATCAAGGGCCTTGGAAACGTCGCCGCTCGGGGGCTGGGGGATGAAGAGGCTAAGACAATGGTAGCAGGCAGCATTGAGGGGAAGAAACCCCCAAAGATGCGCCCTCCAATGCGATCCAGTATTGCCTGCACACGTTGCCGGAAGAGTAAAATAAAATGTACGTCAAGTTGCCAAGGATAAAATTGCGGGCATAGTTCTCGCTCTGCGCCTCTCATGACCAGCTACTAATATGAATAACCAGGTGAGAATACTGGCGGTACAAATCCTTGTGACGGCTGCATCAAGACAGGAAAACAGTGCATCTTCAAAGTGCCCGAACCTGCACCTCCGAAGAGAACCGAGCCGCCTACCCTGGCCAAGCAGGAACGAGACGGAGGATCTGATAGGAAGAAGCTCAAAAAGATAGATGAGATATCGAAAGGTGACAATCAAAAAGCAAGCGTTTACGCCGAGGAGGTACTTTCAGCACCTTTCTTAACTGAAGACCTGTGGGAGCAAGTATTAGATCTCTACAAGCTACATTTCGCGCCGGAACTTCCCTTTCTACACTTACCCACGATGAAGGAGAAATTGGGGCGCAAGTTCAAAAGTCAACAGTCGGACGGTAACCCGGATCTCAATTTCAACTTGGTGCTACTAGGCGTCCTTACTCTTACCGCACGCTTTCACCCAGACCTCGTCAAATATCTCGCCCATATTTGCAGTAACCAACCCGGCAACGCTAGGACTAGACCGGTTCAGACGCCGCTTGATCCCGCTACAGCGTCTGAATATTATGCCGACGTTCTTACCATGGCTTTGGGTCCGATACGAACGGCGATGAAAACTGCCTCCGTCGAGAGGGTGGCAGCCTTGCTTATGTTGGGATTATACGACTGGAGTCAAACTCTGCCTAGGACGGGAGGGCTAGGCGCTTGGATGTACGTTGGTCTTGCCATTAGGATGGCACAGTATTTGGGGCTCGGGTTTAGCGACTCCCTCGACTCGGAAGATGACCAGTCTAAATCCTTGTCTCAGAAAGCATTAGAGAAAGAAGTTAGGAGGCGTACCATGTTCAGCTGCTTTATTTTAGACCGCATGCTCTCTTGCGGTAAGGAACGGGTGTCTATCATACAATCAGAGGATATAAAAATCCAACTTCCATGCTCCGAGGATAAGTTTGATTTAGGAATGGAAGCTCGCACAGGCTTCCTCAAGGATAGAGGTCGGCACGGCGTGGACGATAGTGTACTCGCTCGGTTTATTCAGTTGGTGGATATATGGGGAGAGATTTCGAAGTTTAGCTCATCAGGTGGACGCCTCAACGAGAAGGAAAGGGAGCATCCACCATGGACTAAGGGGAGTACTTTTTATCAGCTTTGCGAGAAGCTTGCAGATTTCGATGCGGAACTTCCGGATACTTTTACGTTTTCACGGTCCAACTACTTCAAGCATGAAAACCACCAGGCTTCTAGTGTATATGTGCTGTTGCACATGCTTAGGTGTCTCTGCTTAATCATGCTACACCGAGAATATATACCCTTCGTACCTGTTCGGTGCACAGAACCAGAAGGACCTCTCGATAATCCCATCTTTCAGGAGGAGAAATTCGGCCTACCCCCTAAAAACTTTTGGATGTCTAGTGCGGAACAGGTATTTAAGGCGTCTCGCGGGATTATTGATTTAATTGAGATATGCCAAAGGAAGGACAAGTTGCCCCAATCAACCATCGTCCTCTTCGCGATCTGGACCGCCTCTTTTGTAGGGTTGTATGCTGAACATTTCCCTCAAATGGATACCGAGAAACACATGTTGAAATACGATTTCGAAAATACACGACAATCTGAATCCGCGTCCAGAGTGTTTAGGCGTGGGTCGGTGGCATTCGCATTCGTAACGCTTCATAAGATGTCGATGTGGCTCAAGATGGCATCTACATACGTGTTCATTCTGCGGCAGATGGACGACTATTTCGACAAAATTAAGCGGGATTACTATAAATTTGCGGCGAAGAACCATGAAAATCAGGGAAGACCCTCTCGGGTTCGCGAAGGTGGCACTGGAGGAGCGCTTGAAGAATACCAGCCTATGACCGGGAAGCTGAAAGACTTTGGGTTTCTCCGAAAGGAGGGTGAGCATATTGAGAGTCCATATCGAACATCGCCCAGCCCCATGTCGTCGCGAGGGATGGAAGCTCCAGATACGTCGACCAAGAGCAAAACACAAAAACCAGCTCCATCTGGATCCTTCACGGCAATTAATCACACTCCAGTGGTGCCAGCGCCAGATGTCGGGCGTACATTCACCACCGAAGCAGGTTATCCAACACCTCACCCTGAAGTGTACGCCGAGGCTTGGCGATGTCCGCCTCAGCAGGAGCAGCAGCAGCAGCAACAACAACAGCATCCGCCGCCCCAGGTCTATTCTACGTCGGAAGAAATGCTGGATACCACGGCCCTCGCCACCGAAGCTCACGATCGGCTTTTCTGGGACACTTTCAAAAAGGAAGAACCGCGAAGAATCGGCACGATAGGAGATCTTGGTTACTTCTCGAGCGGAGACTCCCAACTCTCCATGGCTGACATGCCCTTTGGTGATTCGGCCATGATCCACGGCCTGCCGGACTCGTCTTACCAATACCTACAACAGCTGACGGAGTTCTAAGGTTCCAAGCAGCGAGAAGAGAAGTGTTATGGGGTGGTCGGTCCAATTACGCCATGGGGGTTTCGGGGTTGCATGGTAGCGAAGAGGAAAAGGGGGCATGCCGTTTTCATAACTAGGCGTTTGGTGGTGATTACTTGGGTGGGTGGGTATGCCGGTAGCATATCCTGTTGTGTACGAGGTGATTCATATCGAGGTTGGCCGGGTTGTGTCACTTTAATGGTCGTTGTGTATTTGTCTCGTTTCTCAGATATCCAAGGCAGTAGGTTGTAATGTCAGCAGTTGCCATTGCCATTGCAATGCCCGGCTTGGCCGTCGTGCTTGTGAATGTCGAAAAGATATTAAGACCTGCCGAAATCTATTGGCGAGTCGGACTGACTTGTTGCGGTATGGTGTCGTTTCCTTCTCTCGGCTGAGGGGACGTGCGTGTATTCGTTCGCTTGGGCGGATGTGATTACACCTACGGTAGCTGTATGTTGGTGTTGTAGCAATATAGGAAATGAGCAATAGTTACGTACAAAGTCCAGATAGGTAGACAAGTAAACAGTCAGGCTATCTATCCTACGTGGACATATCTGCGAGCAGATCCTCTTTTATACATATCCCCGGCAGCTCCGCTGGCTGAAGTCCCAAGACGGGCCGATCCGGTGGGAATCGACGCTCGGCTATTGATAATGATAGCAGTGCTATTTAGATGATACAACAGACTTGTATAATTAGGTAGGTAGGGATAGGCTGGTCAGGGCGGTGGGGGGTCGGGAAGAAGTGCTAGTGGTAAGACGTTTGGGATAAAGTGAAATGGACTGCCGGGCCGGGGTAGCAGTGGAGGGTAATCTGCGTAGGGATTGAGAACGATGGTTAAGACTTCGAGGTATGCGTCTATAATAGTGAATATGTATGAGGGGGATTTGTAAGAGAGCTAACAGTTCATCCCCTAAACATGATATGCATCCAGGGTTATTCAACCATGCCATCGCTGACCGTGAGGGTTATTCGCCTAACCACATTGTATATAGCTATGGGCCGAATTTCGCAACTCGTTACCCATGGACTACGACGGGTTTAATATGTCGTATTATTACCCTGGGAATTGCTTGTAGTTATTTGACTACACCCCTGAATTTGTTCTCCGGGATTTATTAGTTATCTAAGTTAGGTATGTTAATGTACCTCATGGCTGATTAACTGAGTCTGCAATAGAGAAGACAATTCCAGACTCGTAATAATAACTCAGACGGGTTCACGCATGGAGGCAGATTAATTGTGGTCTGGTGATTACGCTGCGGAGTAGGATCAATTGCGTGTCTCTGCCGCATCTCGCAAGATACCCAGGTGGACTACAAAACCAGGGTTCGACCGTAATCCCTCAGTCAAAGCGTTATCTGGAATGCGCCATGTCCGGAAATACCTGCTGAACTCCTTTATCCACGACTCAAATATTTCCGGGTCTCTAAGTTGCTGTGCGACTAGACAGACGGCAGGCTTGTCGGCACTATTCTTATCCGATGCCCTCAATCTACATACGTCAGCACAGGTTTGCACCAGTGGCTGGATCAGCGTGTCGTTATAGATGCAATCGCAAGCAATGACGACGTCGAAGCTCTTGGCCTTATCGCTTCCTGTAAGGGACGGTGTCACCTCGTCCAACTCCCAGTCCAGCGGCACGAATCGTAGTTCAGCCTTGGGATAGACAGCCGACGGCTTGCTTTTTCGCTTTTGAGCGCTAGTCTTGGTCTGCTTTGAGTTTCCCAGGGGACTGTTTTCGACAATGTTCTTCTCTACTAGTTTTGCGACGTAGGACTGGTCTGTGAGTGTATACCTTGCGACTAATGGCGCAAGAACCAATCCCACCAAGCCGGATATTCCGCAACCCAATTCCAGCACACCGGAAGAGGATGATAAGATGCCAGAGTTCCAGAGGGGATTGTCGGAAGCGGCTAACCAATCGGCTACAAGCGGAGTGATTTTCCACACAACAGCGCCCGTGGTACTTCCTGGACGGTTCAAGATGGTTGGTGACTGATGAATTACGTAGTCCTTGCCAGCAATGCTGAGGTCCAACGTGGTCGCCTTAGGATCCACGAAGCCTAAGTTCTGGGACGGGATATCCTGGGAGTATAGTAAGAAGGTTTCTGATAAGGGTCGTGTGTTAGTGGAGATGAAACGGGAGGTCGGTATGTAAGAGGAACGGAGACTCGGTCTCAATCTTGCCTTCTTCCGGGTCTGATATCTCTGGACCGAGCCGATCAAGCAGGGGCGGGAACGCCATTATGGATCGATTTAGATCGATTTAGCTGTGACGCCTCTTGACGCGCAAGTCTACAGCCACAAATTGCGGCTTATTACCTTAGGTATGTATGTAGGTATATACTTAGGTATGTATATAGTATACCTATAGCTGAATAGGTAGGTAGGTAGGTAGGTAGGTAGGTAGGTAGGTAGGTAGGTAGGTAGTGCCTAGGTGGGATTTGCAATGTCTTGGCTGAATTCCCCTGGGGTGTACGAAGTGTAGCATTCGTCGCCTTTGCTGCAACCAGGCCAACCGAGCTCCGATGTTGTTTTCATGTATGTATGTAAGTACGTATATGCTGGTGGTAGAATTTGCATTTGCATTTGCATTTACATTTGCATTTACATTTGCAATTGCAACGCTATTGAGATAAGCTGTCAGGAGATGTACATTCCAAAAGATTGCAGGTGCCCTGGTTCAACAGAATTAGGTACATCCCAATACCGTTGGGGATTATAAGAAGGAGAGAGGCTCAGAGACAACTACCAAGTAAAAAATTCGGATTTGTTGAAGATTTTAGATAGTTACACAGATGTACCTAACATGCTATGTCCACTAAGAATGCAGTGTGCGTATTACAGAGCAATTAGTGCCGTAGCTGTGGGTATAACAACAGACGCTAAACTCACCCAGGGTCCAGGGTCTACATAGAGGATTCAGTCTCGGCACTTCAAATTGGCAAAGGGGCATGGTTTTATTGGAACGGAGTGATACTAGTGTCGTCATGGGGCAAGTCTGGAAGGTGAGAGCTTAGAAGCCAAGTCGCTAGGAAGCAGCTTAGGATCTTGGATTTATTGGGGAAGCCCCAGTAAAAAACCCGCCTGCACCTTCGACTTACAAGAACTGAGAAATATCCAAGACTTCTTCATCTCTTCTTCATAACAATAACAATTCAATAAGCCTTTAGGTAACTAAGGTCGCTTGGATAGACTAATAAATAAATAAGAGAGATTATTACATTTCTAGCCGGCCTGACTCCATTCTCATAACTTGTTAACCTAGACAGTTCATCATCTCCTGCGTTCTGTGGCCTACACCAACCTAAGCATTCGTGGCTCTTCGTTTACATCATCGTCCGGATCCTTCCAAGTCTCCCAACCCGAACCTTTTGTATTCTAACGCGTAACTATGGCGAGCACAGACGAGTGGCGAGAAGCAAAGCTAAGGCATGCAGTACTTCAACCCAAAGCCACTGCAAATCCACCATATTCCATTGAATCGCCGGGGGCCGAAGCCGTTGCGGGCGAGACGAAACCCCGTAGACATCCGTTGACGAAGGACGGGCTCATCACCAAACCTTCCGATGACATTAATACCATCTATGAGCTTCTACGAGTGAGCGTTGCCAAGTTTGGCAATGCAAAAGCCATGGGCTCTCGGCGCCTCGTGCGCACCCACCAGGAAAGCAAGAAGGTCAAGAAGATAGTGGATGGTCAGGAGCAAGAGGTGAATAAGGCTTGGACATTTTTCGAACTCGGTCCCTACGAATACCTCACATACAACGATTTCGAGAAGCTGGTCTTAAATATTGGTTCTGGTCTGAGGAAACTTGGTATGAATAAAGGGGACAGAGTTCATATCTTCGCTGCCACGAGCGCTAACTGGCTGGCTACCTCGCATGCCGCCTCCTCCCAATCGATGCCAATTGTAACCGCCTACGACACACTCGGTGAGGAAGGATTGAAACATTCGATGGTCGCGACAGGTGCCAAGGCTATCTTCTTGGATCCTCACCTAATACCTACGCTTGGCAACGTCCTCAAGGATGCCACCCAAGTCCGTTACGTCATTTGGAACAACCAACACCAAGTCAGACAGGAACACATGAACAACCTGAAGAGTGCCTACCCCCACATTAAGGTAGTGAGCTTTAAGGAGTTGGAAAAGCTTGGTAGGGATGAGCCATTTGACCCAGTCCCTCCCACTCCCGAAGATCTCTGCTGTATCATGTACACCTCGGGATCCACGGGCACCCCTAAGGGTGTCCCCCTTAAGCACAGGAACCTCGTTGCTGCTGGTAAGCATTGTTGCTCTAGAATGAGATTATACCAAGCTAACCCGATCAACAGTTGCCGGCGTCAGTGTTGTAGTCCAACCTTTCATTGGTCCTGGTGATGGACTGTTAACTTATCTTCCATTGGCCCACATTCTCGAGCTTGTTTTCGAAAATGCCTCTTTATACTGGGGATGCACTATGGGTTACGGAAACCCAAAGACATTGTCAGATGCTTCGGTTCGTAACTGTTTTGGCGATATTCGCGAGTTCAAACCCTCCGTCCTAGTGGGTGTGCCGGCAGTATGGGAGTCTGTCAAGAAAGGAATAACCTCCAAAGTCCACGATGGTGGTCCGGTCGTCCAGAATATGTTCTGGGGCGCATTGGCATTAAAGGCTAGACTGTTAGCCACCGGTCTGCCCGGAACCAGCCTGCTCGACTCTATCGTCTTCAAGAAAATCAAGGAGGCGACCGGCGGTCGACTAAAGCTCTGCCTCAATGGCGGTGGTCCTATCGCAAAGGACACTCAACGATTTATCTCTATGGCCATCGCACCGATGGTCATCGGTTACGGCCTGACGGAAACTAATGCTATGGGATCCATCATGAACCCTCTCGAATGGACATCCGAGACGATTGGCGCGATGCCCTCATGCATTGAAATCAAGCTGGTTGACTTCCCGGATGCAGGTTACTACGCAACGAATAAACCAAATCCTCAAGGCGAAATTTGGATCCGAGGCGCCAGTGTAGCAGAAGAGTATTACCAGAATGAGAAGGAGACCAAGGAGAATATGGCTCCTGGCGGCTGGTTCAAGACAGGAGATATTGGTGAATGGGATCCAAATGGTCACCTGAAGATTATCGACCGCAAGAAGAACTTGGTCAAGACCTTGAACGGCGAATACATTGCGTTGGAAAAGTTAGAGTCTATTTACCGCTCAGCGCAGGTCGTAGCCAATATCTGCGTGTACGCGGATCAATCGAAGGCCAAGCCTATTGCGATCATCGTGCCGGCAGATGCAGCGTTGAAGCAGCTAGCCGCCGAGAACGGGATACAGGGGTCCAGTCTGGAAGAGCTTGTGCACGATAAAAAGCTAAATGGTATCGTATTAAGAGAGCTTCAAAATGTCGGACGGTCTGGTGGCCTGTCCGGTATCGAGATCATCGAGGGAGTCGCGTTGTCAGACGAGGAATGGACGCCGCAGAACGTAAGTCACTGAACCATTTATAAACTAGTTCCACGAGCTAACTTTCCTATACAGGGTCTCGTAACCGCAGCCCAAAAACTCAACCGTAAAGGTATTCTCGCCAAGTACGAAAACGAGGTGAAAGCGGCGTACGCCTCCTCGAGCTAGGTGTCGGGAGACAACCTCGAGCCTTTTTGGGTGTCTTGGCTAGGTTGGTGGTGGTGGTCTTAGCCAAAGATAAAAACTTATGTCGTTGGAACATCATAGCACAAGGCGGCTTGAGGGAGAGATTGTAATTAGAGTTGACGATCGAGACGACGCTGCGGACTTTCATTTCGCGATGGATGCTGTATTGGTTTCTATTATGTTTTGAGTTGAGCGTGTTTATTTGTCGTTTTCGTACTCGCGTGTACATTTGCAGAATCGTAATGGTACGAGGGATGCATATGCTTGTTCCCTGAAAGCTAGCCGGGGCGGAAGGGAGGTAGACCTAACAGATAATATATAAGTCTGATTATGTCTTGCAGTGTAAATTCCTAGTGAGGCTGCTTTAAGGGTGAAGAGTATTTGGGTAACTATAGTAGATTAGAAACACTGGGCTCTGGGAAGACAACTGGGTTGGGTATATTGTGCGTATGTTTAATTAAACTAATCATTATAATAACAGGTAGATGACGCCTAACATGGGAGGTGATAAATACCTTCTATTATATTGTAACCTACCTAGGTATATAGAGTGGGAGGACGTATGGCGTATGCCCACTATAACTCGAGTAAACTCTCATATGAAGGTAATCATCTCTATAGCACACAACCCATTGGCTATTGCCAGTAGTTATACAATAGAAACGGGCAAGTTGAAAAAGCTTAGCACACATGTATAGGTACTGTACACTGGGTCCTTCTTGTAGATCAGGGTACCTAATTATTTGGTCTCCCGATGTATTTATACTCTACATACCAGTACCTATGTGTGAGGTGGGCAGATCTTCCAACGTGCATGGCGCTGTGTATACCGGGATTGCATCAGTACGTCATTTTAGTAACTCAGCAGCTAGCCTAGTCTTAAAGCTAGGTACCTATAGGTTATTTATTATATATGTACCTAGGTATGTATGGCTCTGCCTCATACAGACAGATAAAAATGAGAGATTTCCCCGGCCTCAGCCACCTTGGTCAGAGGGAGGGGGAAGGGGAGAAGTAAGGGGGCGAAGTAGTTTATGTATTGAGCAAATTCAAATTAACCAAGGCTTTCAACGGCTTCTTCTTTTAGACATGCATGTAGGTATAGGATAACATCAAGTTAAACATGTCGATCAAATCAATAATCTGGAAAAAACTAACTAGATATCAACTACATAAACACAAAAGCTCGAACACAGGAACTGACGTCACGTCACATGTATATATAAGAGAAACCCCAGATCTGTAATAACGTATGCGGCGTTAAGTCTAATCTCTTACAAAGTAGAGATCGCCTATCTACAAGAAGGCTACTCACTTGCCTTGCCTGCTGCGCCTCATTCTAGAAAACACGGGAGCGACTGCGACTGCGGCTGCTGCTGCGGCTGCGGTAGCCGAGGGACCCGGTCTATCTTGGCTTGCGGTCCCAGTTCTGGAGGATGAGGTGCTTAGCCGGTGCTTGATCATCACATTAGACTATCCTTAACCAGAGCGCCAGAAAAAAAAAACTCCGCCGGGATCTGGTCAACAACATACAACCGCGTTTATCCTTCTCTTGGAATATAGATGCCCGTGTAGGAGACAGAGAAAGGAAAATTTGATACACTGGCAGCAATCCTCCAAACGGGACTTTCATCTCGACTTTGTCGTCTTTTGTTTTCTTTCTGGTTTGAGCTCTTGTTCTCTGCTAGGTCCTCTTCCCATACCCCCAAAGCCGTCTGCTCCGGAAAGCCTCATTGCTGTCTAACCACACTCTTACGCAATAAAAATTATACCAGCCCGTCGTACAGAGAGAGTGCCGAGACAATTGTCTCGTCGCGTTTACTGCCTTCCTTAAACTCCTCCATATCTAGACAGCCGTTTTCGTCCTTGTCCATCATGCGGAAGATCTTCTTAACACGCTTTTCGGGGGTATCTTCGTCCTCGGGAAGCTTCACCATCGAACCGACCTGATTCGAACCGTAGTTAGTACATGTTGACTATTATTGGCTCTGAAATAGTGTATATATACCATTTTGTAGATCGCTTCCACGATTTTAAGCATCTCATCATAGCTAATCTTGCCATCGCCGTCGATGTCGTATAATTGGAAAGCCCAATCAAGCTTGTCCTCCATCTTTCCTCGGCTTGTGACACTCAGAGCGCAGATGAATTCCTTGAAATCGATCGAGCCGGACTTGTCCGAGTCGAAGACGTTGAATACATAATCTGCGAATGAAGATGGATCACCAAATGGAAAGAATTGTCGGTAGATCTTCTGGAACTCTTCTTTCGTGAGCATGCCGGATGGACAGTCTTTTAAGAAGCCTACGACGCGATAAGTACAGATCCGGCCAGTAAATTGCAGCAACAAAACGACATGGAGGTAACCAACCCTTGTACCATTGTTGCAGTTCCTTCTTGTCAAAATGCGTGGATTTCTGGAGTTCGGCTAGTTGTTCTTGAGAGAGTTTCGATTGACTAGATAATATATATGCATTAGTCGGACTGGCCGGTATTTCAATACGAGACAATGGCGACGAAGTTATCTCTGTCGTCCCCTACGTAAAAGGCAGAGGAATTCTCGCATCATCATTATCATCGCGCAGCCGTACGTGACAGGGATATGATGCGAGATATTTCAGGCGAACTCACGATTTTCCCATCTTCGATTTAGTAGCGTTGCGGTAGCAACTATTCTATTAAGTATGATGTCTCTCGGAGAGGCGGGGAAGTTGGCGTTTGTCGTGTGTCAAATCTCGAGTCTCGCGAGGCCGAAGGTGAAGGGGGGGTTGTTGATTATGCGACAAGTTCCAAAGCGAAAGCGAATGATGGCAAGGTGGGGTTTTGTCGCAACGGTGAAGATAACAATAAGTCCGACTAGGTTCAGGAGTCTTTCAAGTGTCGCAGCAGGGAGAGGGTCTAATGCAGAAAAGGTTGAAAGTGTGTAAATGTGTAAATGTGTAAATGTGTAAATAGTTGAAAGGAGTTCGAACACCAATACCAAAAATATAAAAGTACGCTTTAGCAATAACTAAGGGAAAAAGGTAGTTTATGTTATCCTGTATTTAGGTCGAGGCAACCTAGAGCACACTGATGTATGCAGTTCGGATGTACGTAGGGTACATTAGGTATGTATGGATGTACCTTGTGTACTACCTTATGTAGCTAATGTACATGAGGTAAGCGGAAGACCTGGATGTATTATGTACAATACTTCGTACCTTTGTAAGAGACTGGAGCTCTAGATGGAAATCTGCAACACGGTAGGTAGGCTACTTAAAAAGGCTGGTTTGGCCGGTGATCGAGGCTGGACTAGGCTGGCTTTTGCTATGTAGGTACAATACCTAAGGTAGGTGACAATAATAAGGCAGCCGAAGGACGGGATTGAACTGCGGTACACAGATGAGATGCGAGCTTCGCACTTATTAGATCGAATCCCGTAAGCCGTGCGTGTAATAGGTGCAATGAAAGTTGCAATGGGGTGCAATGGAGCACAATACCTGCACGATAACTAGGTAATCTACCGTCTATGTACCTATTAGGGATCGTATATAAAATACAACCAGATACATACCTAGGAACTAGGGGGCAAAGGGGTGGGCCTCTTCGGATCACTTACATGATCTCTCTGGGGGCCCGCCAACTATTGCGTCGATCACCTAGGAACAACTGCGACGATGTAATGCAAGTTGAGGCTCTCTACCTTTGGTTGTGACCCTGAACTGTATATTCCCGTATGCTTAAGTGCGATGCGTTCCGGCAAATGAGATACTTTGTAAAGAGTACTGTAAACAATAGATGGGACATATGTAGGTATAGACTCGGAAGGGAGATGATACATGTATAGTTGAGCGTAACCGTCAGGTCCTGGGTTCAAAGAGTTGGAAACTTGGAAGAATGCAGTTAGGTAATAGATGTAACTTAGGAGGTACATACCTAATGTAGGTATAATGTAGGTACATACATTGGTGGAAGGACAGGTTTAGTATCTGGTATCTGGACGAACTCAGTTCTGGCGGGGTAGTTAGATCATACCTAGGTACCTAGGTTAGGTATTGTATTGTACCTTACACTAATGAATGGGGGGTTGGTGTCCACAATTCACCTATCGTCCCTGCTAGCCGCCAGTATTCATCACCACCCGAGTATTGTACATAAATACCCAAGGTAACTACGCGCGTACATGTATTAGTTAGGTAGACTTGATGTAATTGGTCTTAGTGCGTGTGTTACCCTCTCTGCTTCTACTTCTACTTCCATCGAATTACCACAACCGGATTATGATATTCGGCTTTACTTAAGAGCCTTTATCTGATAATTCAGCCGAATAGTTAGACATACATACGTTAGATACCTTATGTAACAGGTTGGCTTGATCTAACTTGACGCCACGTAAAGTCATCACAATTAACTTATACGCTAATAAAAGCTATACCCGAGGTTATCGTATACATAGCAGTAAGTAACAAGCTATCATCACTCGGTTTCCTCGTAATATATAAATAGGTAAATCGGAAACGATCTTGCTGATTGCCATATCTCAACGTTGATCACTTACTTCAGCATGCAGGGTTACGGGTCATCCCGTCTTATCCGCAAATTATCTACCTAGCTAGGTATCCAACAGGGTCCATGCTCTCAATTTTATAAGAGTGATTACCTGTTAGGTAACACCGGTGACTTGGAACCTTGCGTCATAGTGAGCAAGCCACCACTACCATTGATAGGTAGATAGGATAGACCGATATTCAATATTTGAATAGCCTCTTCGCTAGTAGGTGGGATGTCACTAATTAGGTACTTACCTACCTATATATATATACCTATACTAACTACCTACGTCTAAAAGCCATATCACGGCTAGTGATAGCAGACTGATACGACTATATTATATAGACTATTGAACACCTCTAGCAGTGAAAGACCCGTTTATGTTCGATGATGTATGCATATATTCCACGATGATGATATGTACCTAGGTATGTATCAAATAATTGAATGAACCACCCCCTAACTCACAGCTCGGCGGAGTATTTACAAAGTCGGAACCAAACGCCAGCCCAATATCCCGTCCGTCGTTCATGCATCGTCCAAGCTCCACCATGCTATATAGCAGACGCCCATATCGCTTCTCATGAGGTATCTTCAGCGGACAAAAAAGTGGCACATATTTCGTAGCTTATTAAGTAGAACGCTAAGTCTCGCGCCAACGCTCTGGAGTATCATGGTAGATTGAAAGACTGTCGTGAAGAATCATCCGACGACGGTCTTTTGGCTTAGGCTCTCGAGGAACCCGCCGAGGTCATCCTTCCGAACCTCGACCACGCAGTGCTCAAAGCTGTCGATTCGCACGCGGGCGTTTGTCTCGTTAACCACATCCTGGAAGGCGGTGCCGAACTTGTTCAGTCCATAGCCACGGTCTTTATGCTCTTCAACTTCGTCCTCTGAATCCGAGTCTGATCCATCGCTGTCTTCGGATTCTGTTTCTTCCTCGTCATCGTCGTCGCCAGCTGCGGCCCTTGCAGCGCGTTTCTCTTCCTTGATCTTTTCCCTGATCCGTTGCTTCTGTTCCCGTTCCTTAAGCTTGGCTTCCTTAGCAGCTTGTTTCTTTTTGGCTGCTTCCTTATCTAGGAACGCTAGATCGGGTCCGCCGCCGCCACCGGTACCAACCACAACATAGACACCTCGCTTCTCGTTTAAACTTGCTACAACGAGCGGTGTACCGCGTCCGCCATGTGCCAGTTTCCCATTGGCATCTTTTTCCTGCTCAGCAAGGGCCTCACCAACCCAAAGAGCGAGCTTCGTAAGCGCTGCGGGGTGTGTAAACAGAGGAACGTCCGGTCCGTCTTTGATAACGCAAAGACGGAAAGCATGTAAATGCTTTATTTGTCTTTTGCCAATCAGTGTGGTTCCCGTTCGAAAGATAGCGCGATGAAGTTCTTTCGCTGTGGGAAGGCCAGCTTTTAGAGCATCGATGCTAGATACCATTAGTTTCTTAGCCCAGTTTCTTGTTTATGGAACTTACTTTTCAAGAGCATCATACGCTCCCCAAAAGCGACTAACCCATTCCTGGGTCTCGGCCACTCCACCTTCATCTTCGAGGTCCTGTATTTGACTTGCTCGGGAGCGGCTATCCTCACCGGCCACCGTATTATGTTTGCCTACCTCAAGCAAAGCGCCAATGATCACCCCGACGTCTTGAGCGCTGAGCGTGGCTCGCCAACCCCAGCTCCGGACAAACCCCCATCCGTCCTTGGCCCCTGCTCGATCCCTGACATCTGTTTCCACCGCAGGTACCATATCGTCGAGATTATATAAAGATGCATACTTCAGTAGCTTCGTACGTAGCTCCTTTTTCAGCATCATATCCATGTGTGTATAGCTCTGTTTGCATTGGACCAGGCTCACGCCCATTTTGGCAAGCAGCTTGTGTAAACGTTTGATGCCGCTCTCGCTCCAAATACGCAGTCTTGAGAAGAGATATGGTGAATGTAGCATACTATCATAGAGGCTCCAATGTCTAATCAGTAGGAATTTTGGTTCGGGGGATAATCGAATACTCGTGTCCTCTGGGTTTCGAGCTGTGGTAGGGATAATTCCAGCACCATCTGACACTGAGAGTCTGCCCATTTCCGGTGGGTTAAGGCGCCTCACTTCGTCCCGCAGGAGTTGTCGTATCCGGGCGCCACGAACGCCCATCCAGCCATTTGACGGTCTAGAATCTGAACCGCGGACCATGACAGCTAAGCCGGCTGAAGAGCGACCATAAAGTTCCATGGACGTGACGCCAACGATAGTTAGCCAAAGCAAGTCATTGTCTTCCCGGCCCAACTCTGATGCTAGAGAGTAAATCATTGCACTAATAGGCTCCGAGTAAGAAGATCCCATTCTGTAGTACTTCCGAAGGATGCCTTCGTTCTCATTCCGCATTCGTAGCAGTCGTCTCCGAAGGGTGCGGGCTGACGGGCCTTTAGGAGGTTGGGCTGCAGACGGCGGATTTTCCAGGTCGTCCGATCTGATCAGATCGGAATCCCGTATTGAAATCAGTCCGCGCTGGGCCGGACGTTGCGGGGACTCCGGAATTGGGGTAGACTGAGAAAAGGTCAGTGGGGGGAGTTTCCAGCTTTGATTAGAGGGCATCTTACAGAATTACTCCTTCTCCTTTGTCGAGGTCGGTCATCCTCGTCACCGCTACTCTCATCATCCCGATCCGACCAAGACTTTCTCTTCTTACCAGAACGTGGCGAGTGGACCTCTGCCTCTACCTCACCTTCACCTTCACTTTCAGAATCACTTTCCCCATACGGCTCGCCATTATCTTCAATATCAGGCATGTCAATTAGCGCCAGATACGCGTCTCGTTCGGCTTTGAGCCCTTCTTCGATGTCACCGTCGTCGAATACAATAATGCCACCCTTTCCAGGTTTATACGAGTTGCCTACTCGGCCTGAAGCTACACCACTGGGGGCGCGGGCTTGGTAGCTCGTGACGGCACCGGAAGTGGGTTCGAGTGGATATCCGCCGAAAACATTGCCAAGGTTCCACGGCCGATGCGAGTCTATAACCCAGACTTCAACACCGCTGAAACTCGACCCTTCGCCTTCAGTCTCGAGGCCTAAAATAGTTCCCATGTCCACCATACCGCCTACGCCAAGACACACGACAACCCCTCCACTCCCTCCACGGCTCTCCATCATGGGACCGACGAGGTCCTGGCCAACGCGTTCAAGGTCTCCATATCCGGACACGGGGTGAATCTTGTGTGGTATATAATCATGTTTGAGAAGCCGTGTTAAAATGCGACAGGCACAGAGAGCGTCGGGTTCAAGGGCGACAAGAATGAGGACCGGGGGTGATAGGGGATGTCGGGTGTTCTGGAGGTGAGTGTAGAGTTTTGATATGAGATCGCGTGGCAGATACATAGTTTGGAAGTATCTGAACGCGTGTTCGAGTCTGCTACGGCGGATTCATAGGACCGGTAACAAGATGTAGCTGCGACGAGCTCAAGCCTTAGGTACCTAGGTTCGGATTCGAGGAAGGTAAATCGAGTTGGCACAGGCCAGTTGCTTGACAGGTAAGATATTAGGAATTGAACTGGCAGATATATTCCATAAATGATTAACAAAAGACTTTGGGTATGAATGTTATCATATCGTGACGTTGGAGGAGCGACAGGTAGAATTGATTAATTTTAGTGTGGACAAGGTATAAGTGTTGATGGCCAGAACGCGGTTTAAAGTGGGCAAGACGCGATTTGGTACAATACATCGCGGGCGTGTTGGCGTAAAGCACCTTGCAGATATGTACCTATCCATTTACACTGTGCACTGCGCGGGACGGTCCCACCTTTATGTGAGTAAGTTCAACCGGGTCAGGTACCTCTACATAGGTACATACCTATCAGACAGAGATCAGCCACATTACCCCTGTAGCTGAAGACCTGATTCCCCTTCAGCCTTATTTTAGTCTAATCCATTTAATTGAACATTTAGGTACCTAAAGTAAAATTATCCTAATCATCTTAATCATTGCATTGCCTCACTTGAGGTCAGCACTTAATGAGAGTCGTCCAAACTTAACGGAGAAAACCACGAGAAGGGTGTGTATGTTTTATGCTAGTTAGCTAAATTATAAAGGGTAATTTAACAATGACATCATCCTCCCCTACGAGGCAGCTCTTCGAGCTCTGTGTTGGAGCAATATCAACAATCCAAAGCGAATGCAGCTCGACACTATCCGTGAAAGATCCATCCAATGAATCGTTTCCAACAGGATTGGCAGGGTGTGGCCCTGCTTTGGTTGATCTACTGTCTCGACAGGCGACTCGGATCAGTATTTACTATCAAGAATTGAAGCCCGCAGACATAAGCACAGCTCAGAGTCCACCAGAAGAGCAAAAGTTATCGTTGGAGCGATTATCTGATCTTGTTTCAATTTCTTACTCCAAGTTCTACGCATTTCTTTTCAAAGACCTCCCAGTTTGCTGGCGGCAACTCTATACTGACGCCAGCATCTTGAAATTCTGTCTTATCCTCCTTTGGACCCCTTGCATCTATGATCATGCCGTAGAAGGTATTAAGACTTCTCGTGGCCGGGTAGATAGGGCAGGCCGTCAGATTACTCAACTCGTCAAACTTCTCGATTTTGCATTAATTCTCGCTGGGGCCGCTGGTGAACAGAGAGGCAGGAAATGGATTGATAAAGCTATTGGGCTACTCCAAGAGGTCTGGAACGAATTGGGTATCGATACAGGTGCGCCGGACGAACTCAATGTTATATTCTCGACGACCGAACCATTCACGCCACTTGTGAATCGTCCCATCCAATGTACCGATTCTCTATCCATCGAGGCATTCCAGGCATATATGGACAACCCCCGAGATTCGAAGTTAGGACCGAAGCCACTTATCATACGTGGCGTTATTGACGATTGGCCAGCTCTAACTAATAACCCCTGGAACAAGCCATCGTATCTACTGTCACAAACCTTTGGAGGTCGTAGGCTTGTGCCGATTGAGATTGGCCGTAGTTATGTTGACGAAGGCTGGGGTCAGAAACTTATCACTTTCGGTGAGTTCTTACGCGGATATATTGATCCCTCCCTTCCTGCAGTCCAGGACAGCTCCATCCGTGACACTATTTCCGCTTCGTCACAAAGGAGGCCAATTGCATACTTAGCCCAGCATCCTTTATTCACTCAACTTCCCGGTTTAAGAAACGATATCCTCATCCCGGATTATTGCTATACCGCACCGCCTCCGCATCCAACAGATCCCAGCATTGACCAGCCGGAACTTGATGAGCCGCTTCTTAATGCCTGGTTTGGACCTCCAGGTACTATTACGCCATTGCACACTGATCCATATCATAATGTATTAACACAGGTGGTGGGGCGTAAGTATGTACGGCTCTATTCACCCTTAAATACGGAACGTATGAAAGCACGAGGGAAAGAGAACGGTGTCGAGATGGGAAATACAAGCTTAATGGACGTTGGAGTCGTCGAGGGGTGGGATGAAATACCCGACGATGAGGAAGACGGACTTAGCGAGGAGGACCTCGCTAGTTTTAAAGAGATACCATTTCTGGACTGTATCCTTGAACCCGGCGATGCCCTCTATATCCCCGTCGGGTGGTGGCATTATGTTCGCGGATTAAGCGTAAGCTTTAGCGTGAGTTTTTGGTGGAATTAGTATGAGATGGACTTCCTACGTGTTATTAGTTAATCTTGAGACTTGAGTGCTGTGTCTTCAAACATTAAGTGGAAGTGTAGGTATTAAGTGGAAGTGTAGGTATTTAGGGAAAGTGTATTTAAAATGGAAGACTGCTTAGTCATAATTTTAGTGCAAGTAAACCCATATTATTCTCTTATCGAAAAGATTTATGAATAATTATAAGTTTACCGTCAAATATCAGGCATCTATACCCACAGGCATAGCATTCAAAATTTAAACATTTATAACTCTATAACTCAACTTCATTCCTGCTTTTCCGCCGTTAATCTCAGTTCATTTCTTCAGTAAGCCTCTACTAAGAAACGAAATAAGAACTTTTGTCATTAAACCTCTGCTATTATAGCAATTCTATGAGGCCCTCATAATAGTGTGGTTCTAACCTTACCTTAAAGATGGACGCACCTGAACAAGATCGGGATGTTATCATCCAGAAATACTCGGCAGATCTAGTCGCTGATTTTGATCGCTCTCTAATCCCATTCCTGAAAAAGCCCAACGGCCAACTTCGGAGACGCGTGCGTATGAGGGAAACGTCAAGACTGATGTCGCTTGTAAGTACCTGATATATCCATAGTTGTAATAACCAAGCGAAAACTAACAAGCAATATCGAGGTTCTGGAACCATTCCAAGAGCTGCCACAGCTGCTCGATCCGCATCTGCCTAGGTGGTTACCGACTTTAGCGGAAGCATACTTGGGATGCTTACAAGACCACCGTAAACATAGATCGCTATCTATGAGGTCCCAACTTCTACTTCCGCTATCTGATGCAATATGCAAGCTTCTTTATACGTTTTGCAAAATTCGAGGGGAGAAAGTCATCGTCAGATTCTTAAATGTAGAGACGAAATATCTAGAGCTTCTCCTGCTTGCTATCGAAGAATCAGAGCGCAATGCTGATTCGGCTACTTCGTGGACCTGGCATGAAAGATATATTACCCTACTATGGTTATCCCAGCTATTCTTCGCTCCCTTTGATCTCTCAACTATATCATCTGGTGACGCTGACGATCTCGATCGACTCACCGTTCCCGGAGTTGAGTGGCCGTCCCAGGTTCCTGGTATCGCTTTAAGGGTTATTCCCCTAGCTGTCAAGTATATTGCATCACCTGGCAAGGAGAGGGATGGAGCAAAAGCTCTCCTGGTCCGCGTTGCAATGCGGAAAGACATGCAGGAACTAGGAATACTCAACGCTCTAGTGAAATGGGCTTTATCAACCTTGAAGCGGTCGGAGGATGCTCCAGTTGAGTCTCCGTACTATTACATTGGTACCATATCATTCTTAGCTGGGATCCTCAGTGCTGCCGCAGATACGTCTATCATGGACCCGCATCTTCCTGCTATTTTCAGTACCACGCAAGTTATCGCCGCCGGGGAGAACCCCGTTTTCGACGTTATTAATGGTTCTGCGCTAGCTCGGAAAATGCTCATTAAAGTGACTCGCTCGATAGTCACTCTGGTTTTGCGGAAGTCACAGCAAATCGATACTGATACTGAAGTAGTAGAAACTTCTATCGGATACCTACTTGAAAGAGTGGCAGATAATGATACGCCGGTACGCCTTGCTGCCAGCAAAGCTCTTAGTATTGTTGCGCTTAAACTCGAGCCCGAAATGGCCTCACAAGTCATTGAAGCCGTTTTGGAATCGCTTAACCGAAACGTGCTCTGGGTCAAAAATAAGGCGAACCCATCTGCTCCTCCTACGCGAGATATTGCAGCCGTCGATCCACTGGAGTGGCATGGGCTGATGCTCACTCTCTCACACCTTCTATACCGAAGGTCACCACCCCCTGAAAACCTATCCGATATTATTCATGCCCTATTGATGGGACTTTCTTTCGAGAAGCGAAGTCCATCAGGGGGGTCAGTCGGCACCAACGTCAGAGACGCATCTTGCTTTGGCATATGGGCACTAGCTCGACGTTACAGCACTTCTGAGCTGCTTCAAGTACAGACACAATCTGTGTTAGTTGCTAGGGGACACGACCCCGCTGCATCGATACTCCAAGTGATCGCCACTGAATTAGTAATAACCGCTTCACTTGACCCCGCCGGGAATATTCGACGTGGCGCATCTGCCGCTCTCCAGGAGCTAATCGGCCGTCATCCTGACATTGTGGAGAAGGGTATATCTGTAGTACAGATAGTCGACTATCATGCCGTCGCTCTCCGCTCCAGAGCGATACATGAAGTCGCCTTGCAAGCGACTAGATTATCGCCACATTACGGCCGCGGGTTATTGGAAGCGACTCTTGGGTGGCGAGGTATTGGGGATATGGACGCAGGGGCTCGGAGAGTAGCAGCTACTTCCTTTGGCGCCTTGACAGCAGAGCTGGTCGGCGTCGGGACCTCCGACCCCTTGGGCTATTTCAAGAACTCTGTTGACTTGCTTATATCTCGGCTCGAAGCTCTTCAAGTAAGGCAGGTAGAAGAACGGCACGGACTCCTATTGAGCCTCGCGGCTGTCTTTGACCTCCTTCCACAACTTGTAGACAGAGAACCCGAATCACTCCAGAAAATAGCAACAGCTGAGATCTGCACCGCTTTGAGAAAGATTCTACAAGATCTCAAAAATATTAAGTATAGAAAGCCAGAACTAATTGCGGAAGCTGCTGGTCGACTTGTGGTATCATCAGCTCCGGTTCTCCTGTTAAGCGTTGCACAGAGCTATTTTCTAGACCCTCAAAACACGAGTTTGCAGTCAGGTCTCGCTATTGTGGAAGAAGATAACTCTGCACATTTGAGTTCGATTGCGGATTTATTGGATACGCTGCACAACGATCGTCCGCAATATGTTGTCGAGCTATTAGGAACTTTACAGGATACTCTGAATAATTGGCTTGACAGAAATGAGATTGAAGTAGTCAAGACTGCATCGAAGGCTGCTCTAGTTCTACTTCTTTTTGCTACCCGAGAACGCCGCGCCCAGATCATCGAGGAATGGTCTAATAAAGTATACCGTCCGCAAGCACCACGTACCAAGCATGGCGATGGCTTTTTCCATGCCCTTACCTGCACGTACCAACTTCAGTGGAGCCAGCACGATCGTTCGGAAGGTATCTTAGCAAGTAAAGTGCTTGCAGAACGATGGGTACAAGATAGCGATATCGAGACTCACGTCGCGATTCTGCAAAGCTTGGTTGGTAGAGCCATCCTTCGGGACAGGCCATTAGACTTTCTTACCATCGTCTCAGAAGGTCTGGATGACTACACGACGAACGCACGCGGCGATGTTGGCTCCCATGTTCGATTGGAAGCGATCAAGGCAACAAAGACCTTGTGGGACGCAAAGAGAGATGATGAACAGGTCATATCAACCCTCTTCCCACGCATACTTCGGTTAGCAGCCGAGAAGTTAGATCGAGTTCGTACCGAAGCGCAGTCAGCATTGACTCTACTTTTACATCCAAGGTTCGTAAATCCATCCCATACGAAGTTGAGAATATGTTCACTCATTACCACATAGATATGCTCAGACCTTTAGCAAGTTATCTTTCTCCTCGAAAGACTATTTCAATTTTCTACTTCGCCTCTGCGATAAAGAGCGATTAGATCAAGCCGCGGCGCAATTTTGGACACTCAGCGTAGATGACTGCACATCCATACTTTTAGCCGGCCTAGTAACTTCGGCTGACACAGGGAACGAAGACTTGGTCATAGTCAGTAGAGCCTCGCTCGCCAACTTTTGTGAGGAGTCAATAGAAAATCGGAAGCAGATATGCACTGCTCTCCTTCGCAATCTTAAGCAATACCAAGGCCAGGACCGGGTCATAATACCTACTTTAGAAGTCGTGGCGTATTTGTTTCACGTCGGTGTCCTGCAGCGGTGTCCTGAGATAAACTTGCGGCAGCTCTGCGTCCTTGTACAGAAGGCGGCGTACAAGACCGGCAACGTGCGCAAGCTCGAAGCCTGCATCAAGGTCTACGGCGCCATCGCGGCCGTAGATGCAGATGATGACGTGCCGGACATATCGCCGGAGCTAGCGACAAAAAGACGCGAGGGCGTTCTCGAGGCGAGAAAGAGGCTTGGCGTTCTTTTAGTTCACCCCTGGCCCAAGGCAAGATGCCTGGTCGTCGACGAACTCTGGGCCTTGGTGTATGACAACGACGGAGATACGAAACGTGCGAAGCTCCTCTCAGTGGATTGGAGTAAAGCCGAGAAGGCATACATAAAGAATATAGTGGGAGAGCTTGGACTCGAGTAAGGAGTACCCTATCAACTACGCCAGGAACTTGTATACTTGCAGGTAATATTTCCGCATCTAGATACATCATACGGCACTGGCCATCAGCGGGACTTATGTAAAAGGGAACTACATTGCGATTGGATGAGTAGTGACTAAAACAAGAACTGCACGAATAGAAATATGCCACTAGAAGGCGGCAGAGATTGAATATGAGGATGGCCATGCGTAGGTATGAAACGAAACGAAAACCACCTGCACATGATCCAGGTAGTTAAGCTGGCGAGTGGAAGAAATTAATAGAGGGAACGGAACTGAGCATAGGTATGGCATAGGTATGGTATACATCTTGCCGATAACCGAAGAAAAAAAGCCGAAAAGAGATGACGGTTTCATCGGTATATTTGCATGTCTCCCGAATTGGAACAATAGCGCTCATCACTTTGGGCAGTTCGGGACACTGCCTAATACATTTTGTTACAGCGGTTTGAACTGTCTCGTGACGTGGGATTTGTCTCAAGTTGCCACCAGCATTTGTTGGATTGGGTATAGATATATGAGTTGGATGAGTTGGACATGTGAAGGACTGCAAGAGTATAATATAAGTGGACGTGCGTGGGAGGTTTCAGTTATTTTTGTCGGCAGGAGGATTTCCTAAGGAGGCAGCTCGTGGGAATAACGGCGGCTCGTTGTTATGTGACAGCGCAGTCTTTGCCGCATACGCCTAAGTGCTTGATATCTTTATATCTACATTAGGCATATACCTTAGGTACGGTAGAGAACCATACCAAGGTGAGAATCATACCAAGGTGAGAATCATACCAAGATGAAGCTCGACATAGGCTGGAAGAGAAGAGAAAATAGGTACCGAGGCAAGTTTGGAGAGAATTATAACTTAGGTTAGGTACTTACTTTAGGTAGTTAATCGAAATATCAAACGGGCACTTTTGGGTAGGATGCTCCCCGCGGCTTACACATGCAAATAATATGCAAATAGTATGCAATGCAAACAA